AGCTGCAACCTATATGTTAATAGATCAACATCACATAAAAACTTTCAATACTTGGGGGCAAAATGTTGGAATAATGTTCCAACAGATCTACGAAATCTGCCCGATGTTAAAAGCTTAAGTGATTCGTATAAGAAACAGCTACTCTCATCTATAACAACATACCCTAATTACACCGTCGACAATTCATATGACAAATTTTACACTGCAATCATAGTCGACGATAACTAAGTATCTTCTAATTCTTTTAAATCTGAGGCATATATAATTTATGTCGAAAGGATATTCCCTTTTTAACCACCTTACCATTCTGATTGATTTTGCACATGACTGACATGTTTTAACTGGAAAAGGGATTCGCACAGTGGTAGTTTTATAAACCACTTTTAATTTATTGACCTATTATACCTAGTGGTAGTTTTATAGACCACATTTAATTTATTAACTTATCATACTTAGTATTTATTTTTGGTGACTGTATCACCCAGTTTTAACATTTGATAATTGTACAGTTTATTGACGAATGTTATTTTATATTCTAATTTATATTCTAGATATTTTATTTATTTTTCAACAGACGACAACTTCCTGTTTTTTCTTCTATATTAGTTACTCATATCTCTTGTACAGACTGTTTTACAAGGACATTGACAGATGATACTCACATTAGGCATTCATTATTGCATCTAAATTATTTCACTTGCATTAGGTTTAGAAATTTATTCTCTGGTTAACAGATTTCAAATGTTTAATCAATTTGTAGTATGACAGTAAGGTATATAAGAAGTTATTTAATTTTGCTTGGGCTATTATATTGACTATTGAGGTTTAATGATGATATGGAATTTGAATTCTATATAAATTTACACTATGTGGTTGGGGCATTTTGCATAGTAAATATGGTTACTACTCCTATATATCATATTATTTGATTGGTATTCGATTTCTGATTATTTCTTAGGAATATGATTATTATATCTCAATTTGGCTTTAGGTTGGGTGCCCCGCTAAAAGAACTGGATTCTTCCAGGAAGCATCCCGTGCACAGACCTTGGTCTACATATATATTAAATTATTAACCATTCATTCTGTATGTGCACGAAAATTTATTTCAATCAATTTTTCAATACACTTGAAGTGGACTAGAAACCATAGCACTGTGCATCGATTTTCTCTCTATAAGATCTATATTTAAAAAATTTAAGTTGGTTTTGCTATTGCTAGAGTCCATGACAGCCTTAATCATGACGGGAATTTCTTTTTCACTGCACCGCTCACATCAGTGGCGCAACGAAGGGCCCCGTCTGTTTGGGGGGCACCATCTTAGGGTGGCGCCAAATCGTTGTTTGAATGTGGGACAATTTGGAAAAACTTAACTACAGTACTAGCAAAACTGCATGTTTTGCTCAACAAACACACTTTTTTAGAGATTTTACTGGCGCATGATCCTCTAAAATCATCTAATTTGTTCAATTTTAGGGAGTGGCGCCAAAAGGGGAGGAGGCGAACACAGGGGGGCGCTTTTGCATCGGGGGCCGGTAGGGGGCAACATGCAACGTTATGCCACTTGCACTGGCTCACTTATCCGACTTTTGGTTTACCCTTTTTGATTTATCTACCATCATCAGCTGCTCAGACTGCTTTTCATGAAGTTCAAACCAAATGATCAGGGATTTGATGTCAAATAAAATCAAATAATAATGACACTAACAAATCACAAATATTTCTACAAAAATTTACAAATTAGAATAAGATTAAAGATACTCATAATGCTTTTCATTATTAATTACATAATTGGTTCCCAATCTTTTTCCTAGTGCTTTCGAACATTCGAAACATTCCAAATATAACTCATTAAAATAAATCATTTCTTTCACAAACTTTTCTAACTTAATTTTCAAATTAAAAACTGTCTCAGAGTACCCACCACATTAATCAGACTGGTTAACTGCCTCTGGACGCTCTTCAGCTCCAAGATGATCCCAACTTCCATGAGCCACAATTGTATTTCACAATTGAATACAATATTCTAAATCAATACTTTGAAGACGGCTATCAGCACATATTTCTCCCTAATAATCAAATATCTAACAATCCAACTTATCATATTTCTAGCTTTGGCTACTGAAACTTGAAAACATCTGTTCATTCCAAAGTATTGAGTCATGGGTTGTTGGCTGTAACCCTTAAGTCTTGTTACTTAAATCTTTGTTTTACATGTATATGTTCCTGTACAGATTAGAATAACTGCATTGATAAAATACCTTGATCTTGGGTTATAATTAAAGTCTAAATACATAACTGAACATTTAATAAGATTGAACTCTAAAAGCCACAAGTACTTTCCCACATTTCTAGTTTCACACATCCCATTTTCTTTAAATCTTTAACTATAGATGTGAATTGCTTTTTCCTAAGATTAATGATACCATTTTTGTAAAGTTTATATATATACACAAATTTTATTCTTATGTTACAACTGATATTAATCTGTGGTAAACTTTTGCTTGGAAGCACAGAGCTTTTTGATATCTATCATGAGTATCAGCTGCTTTTGGTCTTATCAAAAAATATTGTTCCTAGCTGAAGTTATCGCTGGTCAAAGGTCAGCTCTTATAATATGTAATTGTATTGTGTGAGCAATTTTCAACCCGTGTACTGAAATTTAAGTTTATTACCCTAAAACTTCTAGGATTTATCTAGGGATCATTTAGATGGGACCAAAAGCAGCTTAGCAACCAATAATTTAAAGTCGGTTTTCTGAAAATTAAATTATTTTTATTTTTGATTCTTGAGATCAGCAAGTTTATGTTTTTAAAAAAGCTTAGTTTTGTTACTGTTATATTGTTGCATCTGATATTTTATTCGTTTGTTGTTTGTTTTATATTTGCCCAAACAATGTTAGTGTATTATATGTTTTAGAACTTGATATATTTATGCCTTGTCATAATTTCAGTAGTATGTCTACATCTAAATGGCGTGGAGTCTTTGTATCTTCCAAGACAGGAGATCTTCTTAATGCTGTCACAATAAGATTAGTTCGCCCAACTTGTAGAAATAGGCCAGGTTTTCGAATGGTTGCTTGTTATGGTCCTGGTGAGCGTACATCATACGATGATGAACGGAAATCATCAACCATAGAAGAAGTTGGGTATTTTGATGAATGTGTAAATAGTCAAGGCAAACGAATTTGTATGATTGACATTGCAAAAGTAAGAAAGTACTTAGCAGATGGTGCTGAACCTACTATACCTGTTTGGAAGCTATTAGGAGCTAGCGGGGCATTTCCTGTGCATCCTAGAGTTTATGGACATGCAGCAGAGAATCAGTATATGCAGAAGTTATATCCACAAGAGTCATCTCCTCTCGGATTAAGTGAATTTCCTGATAAATATCCCCCATATATTGATGACTCCGATCCTGATGATCCTGAATACGAGGAATATAATCCTTATGAGCTAGATCAAGATCGGGGAAGAGAAAAGAAAGTAAGAGATCACAAAGGAATTTCAGAAGAAGATAGAGATAATCGGGAAAAGGGTTCGATGAGGACAGGGGACTTCAAACATTTAAAGCAACACATAGACTCCATTGAAGAGCCAAGCCTTATTCAGAAACGTGTCCTGGAACATATGTTTGTCAAAGGTTTTTGGGATCTAAATCGGTATGACAAATCTGGTCTTGGAACTCATGACAACTATAAAGGAACTGGATCAGAACAGAAGGACAGAGAAAATAAGAAAAAACAGTTTTGGTACTGGACTAGAGGGGTTAGAGATTTGGGATATACAGATCCATTTAAATTACGATTTAGGCCTGAGATACATAGACCTGGAGAAAACGAGCAATTGCTTGAAGAAACCAAGCCCCAATGATTTTAAATCAGAATTAACTTTAATTTAACATTGATTTGAATGTTTTCATCGAGATTTGGTATATAAATTAATGTACAAATATTTCTAAGTTATTTCCTAAGAACTCATCTGCTGTTGAAATGATTTCAACTTTATTTCAACTCTAGCTTTTGTCGCTGCATAAGACTGCTTCTCATTTAAAACTTCTTTCATGACAAACAGAGGCAACATGTAAGTGTGTGCTGAATCACACCTTTGACCTAATACCACACTTTTTTGCACCATCGGCCGTTATTAGTTCTATCAGATTTGTGTACTTGGTATCGCTGTGTACAATGAAATAAGATCGACTAAGGTTAGGATCAAACATTTTTCTTGACGTAAAGTCAAAACATCGCAAAGTAGAATTACAAAATTAGGATAAACATATGCAGAAAGTTCGTTATTATTATCAGACAGCAAGTTGATAATGCATTGACTTTTAATACTATCGATATTTGATTAAACAACAAAATAGGGTAAATCTTTGCAAATGAACAACTCATCAAGCTGGAACGTAATCCATCAACAGATTGAAATCGAGTCACTTTAGTCATGATTAGATATAATATATATGATAGTTACTGCGTTAGGTGATATTATAGTTATAGTATCTTATTATAGTTATTCCTGGAAACTATTATCTAAACTAAGATTTAAAGTTTCCCGGAATTTTAGCTTATACCTACACTGTTAGAATCTAATGTTGTATAGTTGCAATATTGAATACTCTGCCTCAATTAAGCTTTCGACCGGCTCAACTAGCCCCAGCTTCTATGAGGGCCGAGGGTAATTTAGAATTAGATATACACATCTTGAGTTGTCGATATTCTCAGTGTAAGACATTAAACTTGTAAGTTATTTGTTGTGTTCAATTCACAACGTTATAAATATTCCAACCTAAGAGTGCCTAAAGGCTGCAAATTCGGCGAATTGTTCAACTTAATTGTGGTGGTTTTTGTCTCGTTTATAAAAAATTCAAGGCAGGTGCGGAATCGCACTATTCATGACCGCACAAAATATGACCGCACCTACTTGTTGCCTCTGACGATGAACTATCTTTCTCCCTAAACTGGATTTGATGGTCACGCTAACTTAATATTTTATCTCAGTCATGTCTAGGTTAAAGAAGACTACTCCTTGACTCAGGCTCCCGACATCGCCTACCCTGGCATGCCCGGAAATGAGAGTTATGTAAGTCAATACGTTTAGAATCAGACCACCTGAATACAGGCTATATGTTTGGTTTATTGTTGGAAAAGATGGCTAACGACTGGCTCAGCACTTTACTAAATCAACTCTGGTTTTTAAATAAATAACACTTTCATTAAAATACGATTGTGTGATGATTCTACCAATTTTTACTTTCAGGAGGATCCTTACATGTACATAGCGAATCCTCGCCCTAAAACAGTGAGCAGGGGTCGTGGCCGCTCATCCAAGTCACGAAATTATAACATCTATCACGAGGGATCCTCAAGACCTGACGGAAGGTAAGCAACACCGCGTCCGCCAAAGTCTTTGTTTAAATTCACCTGCATTTCAGGTGAATTTGCGATCTTTGTAACTTTGTAAATCAATAACATGGAGGTAATTTGCGTTTAGTAATTGATGTATTTTGTCTAATTATATGAGCTTGAAGCTTTAGTCCCAAACCTCTTCAGTGGTTGTTAACTCGTATTTTTCAGTAGTATATACCGAGAGTACTCCATAAAGGATGACGATTGTGGACCAACCAGTCGTAAACGAATCAAAGCTTCTCACTATGAGAATTTTGTTCGGAAGTAAGTCTAATTTTATCACGGTTAATCGTACATCAGCGCTTTTTATGAATACATGTTCATTGTTCATACAAAATACTTAAAAACCCTCAACGAAAGTGGTGTAATAGATCTTTTTGGAAATCAACGCGGTAATCTTTGTTTACTTCCCTAGAATTATTGTCGCGAGAAAGAAAACGAGTACTCAAATACTGATTTCAGGCACCCGGGAGGCACAAAGCTGTGCTTACTGTGTAAGTTGGAGGACAACCATCTCAACTGTCAGGGCGTCTTGAAATGGTTCCCTGTTAAAAGCAAACGTGGACCGGGGAGGCCCAAGGACAAAGGACTCCCCAAGACACCCCGTCTTATGGCCACATTCCTGTCAAACATTCTTGAGGTTGCCCCGGCCCCCAAAGTTATCACCCTGAAAACGGAAGCAGGGGCCCACTCTGAGCCGATAAAAATAAAGATAGATATGACTAAGGAAGGAGTGTGTATGCCGAATGGTAATGGATTCCTCGATCCAGATGTGATTGACAGCTGTGGTTTCTACGTTCACATCGAGTGTTGCCGTTGGACTAGCAGTGTCACTCCTGAGGTCGAGATGTTCAAAGCTGAGAGATATCTCCTGAAAGGGCTCGGTCAGGTAAATACGAAAATTAGATCCTTTCGATTCGCCATTTACGTTAAAAGCCTGTTTTTTTTTCTTCCAAGAACCAACTTTTTCAAGAACCAACACACCTACTGATATGAATCATCGCCTGCATTTTTGTTCAGTTCAGACGAAAATATTGACTCTAAATATCTTTGGTATAACAAATTGACTTCAGATTTGCTCGCACTGCAATATGAACGGTGCTACGGTGTGTTGTCGGTTTGAAACTTGCAAAAAGAAATTCCATGTCGTTTGTGGCTTACTAGTCAAGTGTGTCCCTGACATGGCATCCGCCTCCATGATCTGCTCTGAACACTTGGGTAAACATTTTTATTGATGCTTCATTATTCTAAGACGAAACCCTCATTGGACAAATATTACAAAAGTTATTTTGCGTTATGATCCATTGTGTTTTTGTTTTGATTTAAACTCTACACTCCCTTAACAGTTGGACAAAACACAGTGGGCACGGAGGCAGCGTGTAGCAAGTGTAACGAGGATAAATGTCACAACTCTATGTTGCATTGTATGACCTGTGGCTCCCATACCCACCAGCAGTGCTTATCACCCGATGTATGTGTCATAATTATAAATGCTTTTATTTTGTTTTTCCACTCTGTCGAGGCAGAGAAGATACAGGAGACCACCTGTAATGGCATCTAATAGTCTAATACAATATGTAATTCAAAACTAAATCTATTGGTACCAATACATTCGGCTCGGCAATAATCTGTATTCTGTAAGACAATAGCACACGATGTGGGAGCGAGTGCTTAGTGCCAACACGAACACTGAACAGCTAATTGTTGATGACGAAATCTGCTTTAAGACCGCATCTGTTGGCCCCTAATTAATTAATTTTTAAAGATATTGAGTGACATATTTGCTGTGGGACACTTGTTGGAAAGGTACTGTAAACTGTAAATAACGTTATCTACTTGATAAATAGCTCACACTACTTTTATCCAGGTTCAGATGAGACCGCTAGTAGTGGCGGGGTGGCAGTGCACAACATGCAAGTCCTGTCAAGCCTGCAAGAAGCTGATTGTACTTAACAGCACTACTGCTCTCATCGACTGTGTGGTCTGCTCCAAGTCTTATCATTTAGATTGCATTGAACCTCAGCAACAGCTCAATTTGCAGACTTCTCAATGGCGGTGCAAGGTAATTAATTTTTTCCGACTTACTTTTTTGTCTGTTGAGCTCACTTTACGTTAAGTCGTTCGTGCCCCCTTTTTTAAGGGGGCCTGATGCTTGACAATGTTTATTAGAGCCTTATATTATATTGACTCCTTTCAAGAAGAAATTTTCAATTCATCTCATTCCTAACGTGATCCTATTCTTATCAGATCTGTAGAAACTGTAATGATTGCGGAGTGGAGGTCCCACTACCCCAGATTGCTATTGGTTTTACCCTCCCCTTCGTGCTATGTACTAACTGTCACAACCTTCGTATGAAAGGTACAGCCTCTTTTATTGTTATTAAAATTGGAATAGTGTGTTTGAAATTGTTATTGCATATTCCGGATCATGCAAATTGATATTATATTTACCGAAAAACCTGATCGTAACGGTCTCAGCAAAAGTTAAGTTTGAAATTATACTGCATAAATGGCATGGTATGGTCCTTTTTATTGGTGCATAATATGACATAAGTGAATATTTATGGGAACATATTTTGTCGGGAGACGTCGCCGCCACTCGCCCATTAATTCCAAACATTTAGGTCTTCTTCACCCATCCACCATGAATTGCTTTCTTAAAGTTGCTACTTGTAAAAAAAATGCGCGCGATTTCTCCTTGTTTATCAAGATTTTTGATTATAAACTCTTACAATTTATTTTTGATGCCGCGCGGCAAAAAGTTGTATTCAAAAGTTACTGATTATGATCTTCCCCAGGCGTGAGTTGCTGTATCTGTTACAAAGCAATGTGTCACGAATACGAATTCATGAGATGTGAATCCTGCAAGTCCTGGCTTCATCCTGCCTGCGAGTCTATTGACCCGGTTAGTTAACCATCGTAAATTTACTAATTATCAAATCTGTTTTGTTAAATGTTATATTTACTTAAACTATCAATAGAATATAATGTGCTTGAAATCCATCTTAAGTTCAGCTCGTAACTTAAAATTAGCGGCGCTAAAAATCCCTAGAATGTTGGTAACCAGACTAACTAACACTACTTCAGGAACTGCTGGAGATGAACAACATCTACCTTTGTCCAGTGTGCAGACCTGGCGGGAAGGCCCCGGTTGTGAGCCGTGCTGTTTACAACGCTATAACAGATAACGGACAAATGGTAGACGATCCTTTTGACGAGAACTCCCAAGATTCGATGAGCATCACCAGCGAAAATGATGAAATGTGTAAGTAGATTACACTCCATAGCTGTGATGGTATTAAGAGTAGTACATACACCCACATTGTGACGTTAGCTCTCTTGGTGAAGCGCGCTGTCTTTATCTCAGTGTAGATTGTTTAAAGGATTTATCCGTAGTTTTAGCCATGAACCAAATCATGGTTCAATTTCATTGGAACTACCAAATTTAGCGATAAACACTTAACATTTAGATCCAAACTGATTAGTAGTGACGTATAATAGCGGAGAGCAAAAACTTTCAGTTTTAAGCGTTCACCTTTTGGATGGCTTGGTGACTAGTCTAAATTTAGTTTTTAAATCCCTACGTAAGATTATTCTATTTAAATCAACTTTCGATGACATAATTTGAAAAAACCAAATGTGCAAGAGAAACAAATTCCAACAGAAAATGTGCTCGCTTATAAACCCTAGCCCTTAATATGTACAAGTAAACTTAAAGTTGTCTGAGTGATAAGTACCTGTCCACTAAGCGATGCTTATAAACCGTGTTCAAGTCGGGTGGGCACTGGGCATCAACCTTTTATCAGTATGAAGGGTTGACTCGCTTTGGGTGCGGTGGGGAGGTGACACCTGTAACTTGCTTGACAGCAGACTTGAGGAAGATTTGCGTATTTGAACTTGCTAGCTGAATGGGCGAACCCTGTTCAGTTAGTAACAGATACTTATGTGTGAAAACAAAACTGCACCATCTTCAGCTCTCCACTAGACTACATGTATGTAGTGAACATGATCATGATGTAGAATGTGCTATTATAAAAACTACAGCCAACCTCGACCCCCACACCCACCCAAACAAGGGCCTCAGCCCCGCATGTGCCTGAACATTAATTAGAGAGCTGTAGGCACGTAGTGAGGTAATATGATAATCAGATATGTATTCATCATGGCTTCGTTAGGGGCTCATCAGAGGCATTCCTGGCATAGTTCCAAGCGTGTTATAACATCAAGGTGAGTGTACAATCCTACATTCCTGCATTGTGAGCTTAACTTAGCTTGCCACACACACACGCCTCACATCCTCCGATATAAAGCATTATGACGAGTGTATTTACGTGAGCTCCAGTGTACATGGCTTGGCTCTTCGTACCGAAATATACTCGTCCTATTATTCCATATAAGGTAATCGGAGGAGCGGCTCACCTAAGCGGAATCAAGAGCTGACCTCCTCGGGATCTCGTGTGTTGTGTTGGTCACGTGACGATGATGTCACGTGACAATGAAGTCACGTGACGGTGAGCGCCACACAGCTGTGTTCAGTGTGCAGAGTGGTTATTGCAGTACTTACCGCATATGTAGAGCTAGAGTACTATTAACGTTTCGCTTTATTAATTATCGGCGGGCACTGAGGTTAGAGGTACTCGTGTTAGCTTTACAAGATACAGACTCGATCGATCACGTGTCTAAGCCATGTATTCCCTCTCGTTTGAGTCTACACCGATATTCTGTCTTGTGTCATGTGTCTTACTGCCGTGTTTGATGAGCTCTCTGGATAAGTTAGACGAGATAATATTAGAAATGCCATAAGCTATATTACTAATATGGTGCCCTGGTATGAGTATGTAAACACAGCCTAATCAATAAGATCGGGACATTGTATCACTATCAGGCCACATGCGCCCTACATTAGCTAATGGGATAAGTGGTAAATACACCCGGTTCGGTCCCATGCACGTGACCATGCACGTGATCGATTACCTAATTAGGTTATTTAGGGACCTCCTGAGGGACAAGTATTTGCAAGTTATTAAGAACACAGTATGGTTTGTGTTCCGTATCTTGAATCTAACTCCCCAACTTTTCAGCTGTCACGCCCATCTCCTCCTCTCACAACAGTCCGGGCTCTTCCTCCCTGGACAGCTTCTACACTGTCATGCCAGCTAAAAAGGGACGAGTGGGGGTCGGACTTAAACTATCCCGTCCTACTAACAGAAAGATGCCGAAGATTGTCAGCGGAGAGGGTTCCTTCCAGGTAAGAGACGGTTTTAATCTATACTAATAACCCCAATAAATCTGTGGGTGTGTACGTGTGTTATTTCCTAACGGTTTAATCAAGGAAGCGGTAAGAGTTATCGGTTATGGGACTGTTTTTTCGGTATAGTTTCGACAAAACTTTTGTACCCCAAATGTGATACTTTAGTGTCTCACTTTTTCTCCCCCTCTCTTACACTCTCTCTCCCTATTTACAGCTCCCCTAATTACAGCTTTGGGTACATAATTCGTTTATTTGCTTGTGGAGCCTATTAAGTATTACTATTGCCATTGGATACGTGTTGACTGTTTATGTTGGGCGCTCATAATTAAATTAACTCCAATATATGCGGCCGGTTTCGACTGAGTGAGTTCATACTTTTGCACCGTTTTAAACTTTGTACTGTTTATACTTTTGCAATTCAACTGCGATAGTAAAGTCCTGGCCGTACGCGTAGGCACGCCGCACGGGTACACTAGTATCGTTATATTATGGCATAATTCTTAACTGTATATGAATAAATCTCATAAAACTCATTCGAAACAGTGAGTACGCGATGTTTACGTTTAAAAATACATGAAATTGAGTGTATTGCACTAACAAATGCGGTATCTCTAACAAATGCGGTATCTCTAACAAATGCGGTATCTCTAACAAACGCGGTATCTGCCCAGGAGAAGAGGGACGGAGTAATGCCTAACGAGGTGGTTGTGTACAACAGTGAGTCCGACCAGTACACCCACACCAAAGACATGTGTGTCATGTGCGGGAGTATTGGAGCCAAGGAGGACGGGCTCCTCCTCATCTGCCAGCAGTGCGCCAAGTGTTATCACTCCTACTGTATCAACAAGAATGTAACGGACGCTATGTTGAGGATTGGATGGAGGTTAGTACTCCTTTATAATGTGTAGTCAGTGTTTTGTTCTGTGTGTGTTTTGTTGTATCATTGCTCCTTGGCAATGTCAAAGATGTCGTAACTGTAACCCGTGTTCGTATTTTGTGAATTCTGTGTGAAGGTTCTAGTGTCTTTACTAATTCTCCTGACAGACATTTTCAATGTGGCCCACGTTTGTTGTCCGCTGTTATTTCATCTTGAAGAGCAGGGCCCTGGCATGTGGAGATACAATGCTTAGTACGCGGTGGCTGTTTCCGGGGGGGTTGCAGCTGGTCGAATATTTGGGACAGCACACACGGTGTGTGGAGAGTGTAACGAATAGGAAAAGTGGGGATTGTAAGGTCATATAACATATTGGTATACGTTTGGTATATACATGTGAACTGTACATTAGGCTCAACATTAGCTTGTTACCCGTGTTAGAAGACTAGAGGTGTACACTGTACACACTACACACTGTTATGAACTGCTAATCATCTCCCCTCGCTGGGATATCATCCACCTTCCTTTGCAGATGTAGGTAAAGTGCTTATGACTTGGGGACTTGGACTATTTAATCAGGTTTTGACTTCTCCAAACTGTAGAGGTTCCATGTCATCCCATATCACCGTGATCCAGTAAATTGGGCTCTACTCTAGCTCTGGCAATACTGGCAATTCTAATCTCATCTGCACCTACACTCGAGTGTGCACTTGCTGCACATTTCCAAGAAATAATTATATTCGCTCACTGGCTATGGTATATATATAAAAATGTGAGATTATACGTTACATGATCACTGTATTTGTTTCCCCCTCTTTTTGGTTAATATCATTTGAATTAGGTGTGGTACAATGTACAATCTACATTACTCCTGACCACTGACTCCTGAGTGTGTGTAATAGCAAGTTACTTCCGACTTAACCACCACACTTGCACAGTTTCTAGGTTCAAATCGCGATGCCCTGGTTAAGTGGACCACGTACAGCTGGTATTTTAGACATTATTCTTCAGAACGAAACATCTAGATTTCTGCGCCGTCAAAATTCTACAGACAAACACCATGCTGCTATTTATAACCATCTGAAAATGTCCGCACACACACATGTTTTACAAGCAGTCTTGTGTCCGTGAAGGTGTCACGTGTCCGTGTCACGTGTCCGTGAAGGTCGTTAAACTTGCTGCTTGTTAGGACAGCTCCTCATATGTATATTCCAGATGCTTGCATCTTCAGGAGTCAAGTTCAAGCTTTTCTTGATCTTAGTAGTCTCTTGGAGATTGTTAATTGTGTCTTTCATCTTTGTGCTTAATACCGAAGTTTCTTAGAGGAACATTTTTTGAGATTTCGTTCAAATAACTTCTTTTTTTCAGATGTAAAGACTGCCAAGTATGCGAACATTGCAGTAAGCCGAGCGACGAGGCCCGTCTGCTGCTATGTGAGGATTGTGATGTATCCTTCCACACTTACTGTCTTACTCCTCCTCTAGAACAAGTTCCACCTGGGCCTTGGAGGTGTTCCTGGTCAGTCACTATTACTACACATTCTGCACTCAATTTTCTTAGATATTCAAAACTATTAACACTTGCCAACAAAGCAGACTCGGCCAAATTAGGGACAGCAAAATTAGGGACGATAAGGTATTTGATCATGAGGTGTCATGTCTATGAAATATCTGACTTTACACGGTATTCCCGTACTAATATAATATTTAAGTTGTTGTTTTGGATCGAGTCCAGCACGAGAGTAGTCAAATTATATTTTATATTACAAACAATCGCTTACTAATAGATAAACCCGTAATAATTACATATCTGTAACTAAACCGTCCCACCTCCGTAACATACCCACTACAGGTGTGTAAAATGTGTGAAATGTAGCAAGACTAGCCCGGGTGTACACGCTACCTGGTACCAGGATTACTCCCTGTGTGGACCCTGTCAGTCACAGATGACGTGTCTGCTCTGTAACCAGGACTTCATGGACGGAGAGTTCTGCGTCAAGTGCTCCTCCTGCGAACACCAAATGCATGGAAAGTGAGTAAAACAAACTGATTCCACCTCTTGAAGCTGGGATTTATTATAACCTGTACCAGTCAGCCACTCTCATTGTTGTAACTAAAGAATTGAAATAGTGCCCTTTCTCTTGACATGCCAATTAACCAGTCAAAAAGTGGAGTTTTGAAAATCTACCACAATGTTTTAACTACTTGTTTTTCCATCACTTCCGTTTGTGCCATGCTTCCCTGTGCTCTTATATCTGCTCTGACGAGACAGCTGTCTAGTCCGAATCTTGTAGGAAGGTTTCTCCAGTATGCTCTAAAAAAACTAGAAATTCCTATGACGAGCACGAGCAAAAACCCACGTACTGTGTAAATACACTTTGCCTTGTTGAATCAGCATTGTCTCATGTCAATGACGATGATTAACACCTAGAAAAACTTAATAAAACACTGAAAAACGTAGAGGCAAACATCGTAACGAGCTCTGAGAAAGTGCCTGTAAATTAGCCTGACATACGGCTCTGTCATCAGCTGGTTACAGGCTACATTTCAGTGTTCCATTACACTGAACTGTGTGCAATTATACATCCACCCAATTAGACTTGGGCCACTGCCAGGCGGCCTGCTCCTCGCGTGGCCTCTTAATAATTCCAGCAGGCTCTACTACTTTGCTGTTCAGCGGACTTTAGATAAATGTTAAACCTCACCGTGCGCTTAATGTGTTATAATTCTAGCTTTTAGCGATACTTGGTGCATATAGCTTACTGAGAAGCTAAACAAAGTGGGCTTTAGTAATTTACACACACACACTTGTCACTAAACCTTTTGTTTAGACTGGCCTGGTAATTATACCATCTTACCTCAGCCTTGTAATACAGTCCGCTGAGTACAGAGTACAGCTCTGAGAAAAGTTGGAGTACGAATCCGTAATTATTTTGAAAATTTGCCAAACGCAAATAGTTGATGATATGCCAGTAAAAATGTTAATTGTCTCACTGCCAATAGTTATTACTATACGATGTACGACAGGTGTGAAAACATTCCCTCGGAGGAGAGTTCTCCTAAGAAGTTTGTGTGTAGCCAGTGTGAGGAGATGGTCAAGAAAGAGGGTAAGACGCCACCTAGGAAACTTCAGAGTACAACTTTCAGCGCAACTAAACAGGCCGTGATCTCAGGTTCGTTTCATATCTATTGGTTTTGTCCATTGAAACCCCTTAAAGGCTTAATTTAACAAATTATTCCTCTAATTGTCGCAATTTATTCCGTCTAACAACAAGAAGCATGACAACAATTGAGTTTGTCTGCTGACTCACGTTCGTGGTATTAACGAACTGTCGTTACAGTCAAAAAGCACGATGCAAGAATTGTGGCCTACATGGATAAGGACGAAAAGGAATTTGAAGCAGAACGAGAAGAGAAAGAAAAGAGCAGAATGTTGGGATATGATTACATTAAAGCTCTGAACAAACAGCGCCATGAACATCAGCTCATGCAGAAAAGCAAGAAATTCTCCGCTCAGGTTGGACTTTATATTATAACATAGCAGTGTACAATTAAGTTGGTAAAACATATGGGTGAAGGTAAGGAGTTGAGATCATCTATCATCAGCTACTCTAATTTCTCCTATTTCATGTTGTGATTTAATGTGCACACACGCACTTTTATCACAATCACATACTATTTTCAGGACAAGGATCAGAAGATGAACGAGATGATACAAGAAGGCCTGACGCCCCCAAAAGACTTCTCAAGTTCCACCGCCTACCAGCAGATCATCAGAGAGATAACAGGCGGGATGCCCGGGAACAAAGCAGCCAATAAGAGAGGTCGAGGACGCTCTGTCAACAAAGCAAACGATCTGATGAGCCCAACAAAAGATCTTAATGCTCCAAGAGTACGTGGTAGACCGAGAGGAAGTAGAAACAAAACTCCAAATCAGAGAAACAGGGGCAAGGTTAGTTGAGGGGTCTGGGACGGGGCAAGGTTAGTAGCAGGGTGATAATATGTAAGAGTAGTAACCGATCATCACTCTCTTTTACATGTTCAGATACCAGTTTTGTCACCGTTCAAATTCTATCAAACAACTGCTTGGAAAGTTTGTACAAATAAAATATTTTATTGCAAAAAAGGGCAGGGTAACTATTAGAACTGCGTGCATTTGCCGCTAATTTCAAAGAAACAACATTTTGAATACCTTACTTAATTCCTGATTGAACATCCTACTCTGCGTAATTCTAACCCGGGCTGGGGTTAAGTGTAATGGGAACTAAATTTATGTCTGTGATACTATTTTGTCGGATGTAACAAAATTATGTTATTTGAGATTGTGAAATGTGAGGACACCACACTCGGAGATCTCATCAAATTTGGCGGTGCGCCAGGTAAAGTGGTAGAGTAATGACAAACTATTTATATCTCTCTGTCGCTGTGAGTCACCAGGGAGTAGAACTCGTTTACACTCCCTGGTCAATTGACAGGTGAATGTATCCGGTAACACTGAATATTCACTGAATATGCAGTGTGCGTGTACTCGTGTACGACACTAGGTTCGTAGCTTACACACACTTCCACCTTCTCACCACTACTCAATAGGGCACGTTAATATAGTGATCACTGTAACACCGTCCTGCTCCTTTATAATAAACCTATTTCTTACATTCCATTCTTGTGGCATATTTTAAACTTTTTAAATACAGTTTACCTTACTCTGTCAGGCCGTAGTCTGCATGAATTTTAAGAATTTCTCTTGTTCTTTCAGGGCATACCTCATCCGGACATGCTACAACAGCAGTTGTCATCAGACGACAACATTAATTTCTCAGACTTCACCGGAATGGGACTCCCCAGGCCCCCTCCTAATATTAAGTCTCCGATGAAGGTGAGTGGCTAAATGCTAAGCTGACTGATAACGATTTGCGTTGGTGATATATTATCAATATTTGTTTATTCATCAGCTTATCGTTTTCAGGGTTTTGCTATTCTTTACTGATAACACTGACTCTATTTAGAGTTGGTGTTCAATTTATTATCCCTAAGCAGGCATTTGCATCGGTTGCCACAATCTTTAAACGCTAATAAATCTTCATTGATGTGTCTAGATAAGATAAAATTAACTGTCAAAGAACTGCCCTGCAAGTGTCTAACTTGACAAAAGTGTAGCGGGGCTGCAGCTCAACTCCTAAAAATACTACAGAGTTGCATGAGCGAAGACAAGGATACCCTTCTGTCCACGGTGCAGTGCCTCCCGCAGCGCTACCGGGAGATCATGATGCGCTCCTCTTGTCCAGACTCCCAGGAGCTCAAAATATCACGGCACCCAAACGAGACGGCGCTAGAGTCGCAGCAGCAGTACTCACCCGGGCCCATGATGGGCTACGGGATGAGCGCGCTGGACTCGCCACACCTCAGAATTGAGCCTTTGTCGGACATGTTATCTAAGGTATTATTGGTGTCTGAGTAGTCTGCGCTGCAGCATGTTCTCTGAACGCTATTATAACCGTTCTAGTGCGCACAATGCACATGTTTCATGTCAGGGGTGCTGCGCTGCCAATCTCTCCTCTCTTACAATACGTACACTAGTTAATACAGACCTAGTGCTTCGCTCTTAATGTTGACTATCTCTTCACTTAGTTTTTATATCTTTCCCGCCATGTTTTCAGCTTTTTGTCAGCAGTTTAGGGCATTAGATTAGAGTCTTGCATCTTGTTCGTGCCCCCACCTGAGTGGTAAAGCTATGTCAGAACTCAAGTGCCATAATTTACATTTTACATGATTGAAATTTTACTAGAGAGAGCAAATTTTTCATTATATGCAAATTTAACTGTCCGGACATCTGATTATGTTCGGCATTGTACGCCTAATATTGTCAACGCCTTGCATTGTGAACTGTGATGTTTCTTTTGCCTCGCCACACACTCCCTGTATTCTAAATACAATGTATAAATGTAATATGTGTATTATGCTCCATGGTTTTAATCACTTGTAGATATGTTGCCAAATGTGTCGGGCAGGGGAGAAATTTGTTACATGTTACACATGGAACGTAAATCATCGCATTCCTAAAGTGATGGGTTAACATACCGGGAGTTTCAACCACATGATGGTCCGTGTTATACGGTTGTTAGGAGATATTTTCATTTCAGTTCTGTATTTCATTTTTTACCTTAACTAGTCTAACGGGTTTTAGAGACGGAATTCTTGGAAATGATTCATAATTTGGCATACTCGAGTAGGTTACAAGAGGTATTAAACACGCTTTTCTGGCTCGCCTTTTTATCTGACTGAAAGTAGCTGTTAACTTTGATTAACTTGCCTGCGAACGGAAAATCAAAAATCGAAAGTTCGTGTTGACTTTTTTGGATGGATAATCGGATTTTAGTCCAGCATTCGAGTCTACATAACTTGAATAACAATCAATTCTATCGCTGCTTTTAGTTTATATTTGGTGCGTTAGCTCTCCGGATCTCGTTGGATCGGTATGATATGGGCGCTGCCTTAATTTATGTACTCTGTAATGATATGTATGATAAGGTCTAGGCGATGGCTAATACTTTCAGGTTACGCCCTACCTCACTCATCAAGATTAAATTAAATTTCACATCATCATAATACCACTTTCACCTAAAGATGAGATTAGTCCAACATACAATTATTACAAATCCTTGAAAATATGTTCACTTCGCAGGCACCGTTGAAACGCAGCAACTCGAACAAAGGCCGTGGAAAGCTCATACCTCAGATAATGGATCCCTCTCAGATGATAAAGCAAGAAATCAGCCCCGCTAAGATGAACTCGGAACTTGCTATGAACTTCTTCGGTGACGAGCTGATGCCGGCTTCGGGACCTGACATGATGTCTCCCACTCCTCCTCATCAGATGATGGCAGGACAACAGACGATGGGTCCCCCGTTACCACTAGCTCCACCAGTGTTGTCCTCTCCTGTTAACCACCCCGTCATGCTCCCCCCACCCCACACTGGCAAACCTCCTTATAATGTCCAGATCAAACCTAGAAACAAACTTCCTCCCAGTCCCTTACTGGATCCTCTCCAGACCAAAAAGTTAGTTGGGTTAATATTTTGGGGGAAAACCGCGGCCTTTTTCATAGCATTTAGCAGTGTCTGTCATTCTACTCCGTAAGCTTTTGCCCCACGACTTTGTATATCCAAAAGCGAACTGGTACAACCTGTGTCATTTAGTCTGCTATATGCAACTTTTATTGCTAATAGTAATACAAGAGAAACATTATTGTTGTTACCAAATAGTGGTCCTATCGCTAATATATACAATGAAGTTTGTTAAAAATGAGTCTAATTGCACTTTTTCTATAATAAGATACCCTAGCAGCAATCCCATGAGGGAATAGTATAATTACACAGTACTCCAGAGTCACGTCCAGAGGTCATATTATAATGCTACTAGACTGTTACTATAGTTACACTGTTTATTGTTTCTCCGTTCTGCTGTACGTGGCCAGGTTTGATATCAGTTTAGAAGATGATTTACACGATTATTCTCAGTTCCAGTGTGCCGCCCTCTCCCAACAACATGTCCCTGCAACCTTCTCCAAAGCCCCTGACACCCGTGAAAAAAGAGCCAGAACCGTTTGATCTGAGCAAGGTTAACATTGACGATATTAATGTTTGTCCAGAGTCTCCTTACCCCGCAGATCACCCGGACACTTTACCTGGTACGACATAGTTCTTGAAATATTTTGTCAACATTTCGTTTATGAAGTTTTGAGTATTTGTCCATCTTAACGTTAGACGAAGTTTAAAGGTTATGGTGGGATTATTAAAATTGATTGACGAATGCCGAATTGTTTATATCAAACAATTTGATAAAATCGTTCGAAATGTTTAAACTCATTTTACGAAGTCAGTGGATTTCATCCTTATTAATCTAATTTCAATTTATAAAAGGAAATGTGAATATTTTTAAATCGAATCAATTTCTTTGAAATTTGATGTTTCCATAGCTACCCTATATCAATAGTACGAAGCCCAAGGACAAATAGATATTATCTTGAAAAGTATTAACTCTTGAACGTAAAATTCTCCAGAGTACAACAACCGGGAGTTAGTTGTGAACAAGCCAGTCGGCCAGGAGGTGGAAGAAGAGGAGAAGATGGACGAGGCTGTTTCTTCTTACTTTGCTGGTCTGTTCGGTGATGATATCGATCTGGATATGGAGGAATCTGCTAAAGGATCACCCGTTTACAATCCACCTGATCCCAACGCCGAGCCGCTCACACTGAAGAATATGGAGGTAAGAAGTTATTTAGGCTGTTTAGATATCCGCGCTGAGAGAAAATATATACTGAGTGATTATAGCGTGACAGTATCCCAGTGAGACTGTAACTGTTTAACAGTATTATATACTACTTGGCCTAGCTACACTTACATAACATCATCACCAGTCTTCAATGTAGAGAGCTCAGAAGAATTTGCCGAAAGGTTTTACATTCTGACGATGATATTCGAGATGAGTAAACACTACACACACTGCCACTTCACCGGCCAATGTTTCTCGTTTGTGTAACCGAACACACACCTAGGTTCAGTGAGAGATAGTGTTGACAGGAGCACTGCGGCCACACTCAGACATAACTTAGAATCACACACTCACACTCAGACATAACTTAGAATCACACACTCACACTCAGACATAACTTAGAATCACACACTCACACTCAGACATGTCTGACTTAGAATCACACACTCAAACTCAGACATAACTTAGAATCACACACTCACACTCAGACATACCTTAGAATCACACATTCACACTCAGACATAACTTAGAATCACACACTCACACTCAGACGTAACTTAGAATCACACACTCACACTCAGACATAACTTAGAATCACACACTCACACTCAGACATAACTTAGAATCACACACTCACACTCAGACATAACTTAGAATCACACACTCACACTCAGACATAACTTAGAATCACACACTCACACTCAGACATAACTTAGAATCACACACTCACACTCAGACAGAAATTAGAATCACACACTCACACTCAGACATAACTTAGAATCACACACTCACACTCAGACATAACTTAGAATCACACAATCACAGTCACCCGTACCCCTATTCGGCTTAACAGTTCCTAAGTTCACATTCACTTAAAGTTTGGTCTAATTTTTGTCATAATCGTATGGCTGTGATGCTCAATTGCAAACTTCGAATATAGTCACTCCCGATTTCAAAATACCCAACTGAAATCCCCTTTGATAATGTATCAATCTTACAGCCTACCTCATACTCAAACCAACCGTGAATGTACCTGCTGCATTGCTGTCGAATGTCGATTTATTGCAGCCCCACTGTGGGGGAACGAAGGCCCGGGTTATTGAATAACCCCGGGACTCATTCTACCTTGGAATGCCATGTTTTGTCCCCTCGTGGCCATGCTCATAACCTCCCATTTGGGATCACAATCTGTCGTTTATATCGTAACTTGATATGAGCAGCCGGAGGATAATCTGCTAGATTCTCTCTGATGTGGTATTATTAGTAGCTGCTGCCTAATTATTCCTTTTAAGGTATGATTGTCCTCGAGCATGCCGTGGCCCCGTGATAAATCCTTCCTACATTTAGTAGCTGGTTGGAGAGCTAGAGGCTCTTTTACCAACTCTGATGTAATATCTTATACACCTACTGCCGAGATAAAGCCTTGTCAAAAAGTTGGTTTTTATGATCAGGAAGAGAGAGGATGGTGTTGTATTGTATTCACTAGTACACTATTAACTATTGTAGTGTGGTATCACATAAAGAACGCAATTTGGCCTAGATACGATGCAAGGCTCCTATTTAATCGCTGCGGTTTGATAATCTGTGTCTATAACCAATTAAGACGCTTAAATGTTGGACTTCTTACATTCGGTATTTAGCGCATACTCGTACAAGAACACCTAGAATAAGCGAAATTTCGAGTGAAACTTCTGTAATCTGTACACTTCCCACGATCAACCCCTCTGTAAGTACGGAAACTAGAGATGTACCTTCATGAAGTAAGTTTTGGGCAATTATGTATTATTAAGGGGGCCGGGGGGTCTTCATCAAAATTATCTCGAAATCGAGTTTATAGTTGTTTCTGATAGAGGGGAGTGATACCTATCAGCTGCTTTTGGTCCCATGGAAAAATATTGTTCCTAGCCGAAATTATCACCGGTCATAGGTCAGCGCTTATGTGTAATTGTATTGCGCGAGCGATTTTCAATCGCGAGTTCTGAAAATCGAGTCTAAAAATCTATCTTCTCCTACATTTTTTGAGCAATCACCCTCAAACTTTCGGGATATGTTCTTAGGATCAGTTAGAAGAGAACTCTAGAGCCAGAATTTTGAGGTAGGCCTTTAAAGATTTTTAATTCGATTTTGAAAATCTTGGACCTCTAAAATTCAAGGTCCAAGATTTTCAAAAATCGAATTAAAAATCTTTAAAGGCCTATCTTAAAATTCTGGCTCTAGAGTTCTCTTCTTACTGATCCTAAGAACATATCCTGAAAGTTTGAGGGTGATTGCTCAAAAAATGTAGGAGAAGATAGATTTTTAGACTCGATTTTCAGAACGCGCGATTGAAAATCGCTCGCGCAATACAATTACACATAAGCGCTGACCTTTGGCCGGTGATAATTTCGGCTAGGAACAATATCTTTCCATGGGACCAAAAGCAGCTGATAGATATCACTCCCCTCTATCAGAAACAACTATAAACTCGATTTCGAGATAATTTTGATGAAGACCCCCCCCCCCCCCCCCGGCCCCCTTAAATATCCCTGATATGGATAATCATATGACTAAGAGATATTATCATAACGAAGGATGATTGTGCTTGAGTGTATCATTGTTTTGGCGAGAATTTTACATCTAACTGTTTTCCAGGATCTAGATGAAGGAAACGGAGAGCTACCTCTTGAACTGAACGCAATTCTAGAAAGTATCGAGGCTAAACCTATCGGTACAGAGCTGGACGATGGAGAGCCTTGGAGTGAGAAAAGCAAAACCCAAAACAACGTGAGTTTCACTTCTGTACGCTTGATTTACCTCGAAAAGCATTATTTTCTTAAGATCTTGTATTTGCCGCGCAATACAATTAAGATAGCGGTTATATATATGTTTTTGTAGCCATACAACGAAAATACTCTAAAACCCGCGCCGTTTGAAGCTAGTTTAGCAAATTAACGATGATCTGTTATCTGTAACAGTTTAAAGTTTATTTATAAATAAATAATATATTTAAATAAATAAGTAATCCGCAAAACTTCGTTATGCAATCGTTGAATTTGTCACTTTCGTTCAACTTTTAAAACTTTGCCACCTGATAAAAACCAACTTGGATTTGGTGGTAAGTGGTAAATACGATTACTTAATCTCTTTTACTTTTAATAACTTTAACCGGATTGTAAACCACGCAGGATGATCTTCCGAGCAATCAGCTTGTGTCTGACCTGGAACTAGGTGACGACTTCTTGGGACTACAACTCGAGGGATTCGACCTCCCGGGATTCTTTGACGACATAACCATGAAAAAACTGGAAAATGAACACCGCAAAACTGGTCCAAATGATCGATCAGACTTCGATAAAATGTAAGTTTTTCAACGAATAATTCTCAATTGTTTTTAAGGCAAGAATTATTTAAAATAGTCTTGTCGATCTGTGTTATGTTAAATTATTATGTAATCATGACTTTGATAAGTATTAAGTGATAATAGCTGATATAATAGGTTAAACTGAGATAACTTTCAGCCTTGATCCGCCTACGACTGGTACAGTAAACAAGCGACCAGCCAGCATGAACACCTTCAAGAAGTGGGAGGAGGAGGAGAAGAGAGGCACCTCGGGAACAGTACCTCAGCTGCTATTTGCTAACAACAACCCTGAGATGAACATGCTCAAAGCTCATTGCACCGACACGTTGGAACGGTACAAAATGATAAATAAAGCGTTCATGGAGCTGTCTAAAGACGAGAAGAAGGTTTACTTCAACAATTCCAAGAAAAATCAGAAGTTGAGAAAGACAGTGAGTTGCTTACTTATTTCGTTTCAATATATTATTATACATATTACATGATATAAACATCGACGCGAAGGACAATTCATATTAGTCAGTGAGCAGATTGATAATGAAGAGTGTAGCCTGCTTGAAAACCTTAATTAATTAATGCAGATGGGTTGATTTCACTCTGCTAACTTTAATTAATACCCCTATAATTAAATAGTCGCGGCACGTAGATCACTCTGGGCCACTTTGTGATGGACCTGTTTAAGTTGTTGAACCCAAGTCAATTCATAACCATTTTACATTCTGGCTGCATTCAAGAAACGTTTAGGTGATATTATGTCGTCCTAATTATTTTTGCTTTTGTCCACAAGCGGACAGTTTGGGCTGTACCTACATCTCTTTATTGTCTATTTATAGAAATATAATTTTTTTATTATCTTCATATTCTATTTTTGTTCTCGGTTTAAATTACATATGACATCATTTCTACAAGTCACACACGATCATCAACTGATATAGCGTCTAAATTTGATATGAACGAGGCCTCTGTTTACTTGGTAGTTTCTGTCCCAGTATTTTTCACACGATCGCAATTTAATGATCTCATAAATTTCAGGATTCAGAGTACATGGCTCACCCAGACCAACCCCCTGCAACTCCAGCTGGAGGATGGCCTCAACAGTTCGAGGGAAACAGAATGCCACCTCAAGATCCAGAAAAGCTATCTATGGATGATCAGGAGATGTTGAGACAAAGTCAACGAGAGCGCAGACAACGGCTCTACGAGCGACACCCAACTGCCAACAGACACGTCAAAGAAGGAATGATGACTGGTAACGATCCCATGATGGGTGGGTGGCAGAGATTCAGAACACCAGAGGAGACGTCTAACAGTACGGTCACCGTGGGTCCCATTCCCTCCAAAGCGGGCATGCCTAATCAGATGCCACCCAGTCGAGATAGACCTATGACCCCAGCAGGTCCTATGACTCCAGCAGGTCCTATGACTCCAGCAGGACCAATGACTCCTGCAGGACCTATGACTCCTGCTGGACCTATGACTCCGGGAGGTCCTATGACACCAGGGCCCATAAGATCGCCGATGACACCACGAGCCATGGCCACTATGAACGTGCAAATGATGCAAGCTCAAAGTCAAATGATGGGTGGACCAGGGTACATGGGACGACACTTCGATCCCTCGACCGGTCAATGGGTTCATCATACAGGTCCTGGAGCTCACACACCTCTCCGACACCTTCCTCCACAAGCAATCATCGCTCAACAGAACATGCAAGCTCAGTTCAATCACATGAACCAGTTTGGCATGCAACCTACTCCTGAACCTGTTCAACCACCGCCAAAAACGAAGAAACGGACAAAGAAGAAGAAGGCACCAGCTGCACCAGTAGAGCCCCCAACCCCAGTAGATCCTCAAGTCAATTTGGAAAATTTCCCGCCTCATTTGCGATTCGGTGGTCCTCAAACCCCTGCACCTCCGTCTTCTGAATTCCAAGGAGTTGGTCCTGGACATCCTGGATTTGATTACAATGAGCACTTCCGTCAGAATTTACAGATGCCTGGCATGCCAAATCCTCTTACCAAGAACTTCAAACAAGGAAAAAGCGCACTTCTCAAATCACCCCAAACTTCCGTTGACATGGAACGACCCAAGAGTCTAAACATCAACAACAACTCTCCCTCAGCAACTCCCAAATCACATCCAAATACACCAAACAAAGGAGCTGCCAGTAAGAATTCATCGCCTTTGATCAAAAGCGAAGATTTCTCGAACGATCCCCATGATTCACAGCAACAGATGCATCAGAAACAGGCAATACGGATAGCGTTGGAGCAGAGAAAACAGCAACAGTCGCACTACATGAGTCAGCAGATGATGATACCAAGCAATCTACACTTCCCCATGAACGTCGCCCAATTTGTCCAGGTATATTCAGTCGATCTTGATTGCATATTTGATTTGATTCAGTACGGTCATGATAACTTCATTTCGCCAAATCCTTACATTTTTAAGTCATAACGGTCTTTGTTTCAGTTTCGAATGCAGCAGGATTGGCTGAAGAAATTCAACCATTGGAAAACAACAGGCGGAGGAATTCCACAGGCTCCACAACATCCCAACAACTTATCCACCCAACAAATACAAGCTTTGTATAGCCGTCTCATGGAAAACATCTTCAGGTGAGCGGCAACTAAATTGGTCTAGTAAAATTCTTGACATTTTTCAGTTTCTGGCTCGTCTTTAAATTCTAGTTTCTGGCAAGTGATAATATGATTATGATTATTATCTAAATCATCAATTTTAGACCTGGATGCAGTTTATTCATTTCATAACCTAATATTATAAATTTTCTAGAATTGTATGCCCTTTCAGTATGACGGCAAGCAGGATGATGGGTCCTGGACACCCTGGTATGATGGAACCAATGGGTCACGTCATTGAGGAGGAGAAAAAGCCCAAAACGAAAAAGAGGAAGAAAAAGAAGGCCGAAACTCCTGTAAAAAAGGATGATAAATCAAAGGTTATAATTGTTGGCCAATAACGCAAAATGGAGAGAAATAAACATTGTGGAATTTTCAAAGCATTTACTTTTCAGTGATTATAAAATTGCTCGTAATCGAATAGTGTGACAGCTTTTCCTTTTCAACGTTTGCCCGGAGCAGTGGAGCGAATCACGGTTAAACAACTTATCGTAACCGAGTCGAATTTCAGATGTTGAAGATAGGACCCAACTTGGTGATGCAGACTGCCATGGGACCAGGACCACTCGGTGCCAACTCTCCACAGACCCCAGCAGATGCTTTCATCGGGCCGCACGGCATGAATCAGAACTCATTGGGGTTTCAGCAAGGAATGGGCAATCAAATGCCCCAAAATATCCCTGGTCAGGGAGGAGGCCCACCTCTAGGAATCATTAACCCAAAACATTTAAACATGCGGAGTCCAGGGCCTGCCTTAATGGCAGGACCGCATGTCAGCCATATCCCTGGGCAAATTCATCCACAACAACGCCTTATGGCACCTCACTATGCAATAGCCCTCTCCCGAAACAGTGACCCTAGGCACATTCGCCCTACCTTGACTACTCAGAGTCCCCATTTTCATGATAACTATGATATAGAGCCTCCAAGGACTCCAAAGCCCACCTCTAAATCTAAAAGTAAATCAAAAACAAAAGAATCTTTGCAATCAGTGGTTTCAAAGTCAGGTGAAATGCCAATGCAAGCCGATTCGCCCCGTTATCAGTTCGAAACCCCTCGTTATCAACATCAGATAAAAATCGAGGACAACCAGGATTTCAGTGATGCTAAGTCTCCACAGAGTCAGCGATCACAGACACCCTCTTCTGCCGGAACACCTACAATGAAGGATCCTTTTGATAATCCTCCCCTAACACCAAGCCAGTACAACAGCCTAGAGAGCGCCAAGAGACGGAAGCGCAGGACCAAGGCTGAAATGGATGAAATTAGAGCAGAGCGCGAGAGAGTTGGATACAATGGTCCTCCGATCCGCGCCGCTAACAAGCATATTCCACCTGTCCAGCAGCCCGACATAGGCAAGATGGTGGATATAGTTGTTAGGGGGACAGGCACTTCTCCTCATTGTAAACTTGTTGGTTCTTACGGTCGGGCAATTATTGAGAACCAGCGCGACTTCTACAGAGATCTTGTGGCTCAGATCAAGGAGTCACGGCAGCAAAAACAAGCCTCGGCAGACATCACAGCTGGCCCGGTCCTCACGACACCCAAACCTCAGCTCTCCACTTTCGACAAGGAAGCAGTGAAACTCCACAAAAAGCTGGCAGCACACGAGCAACACATGGAAAAGAGAAGAGCAAACATTCCAGTGCACCACGCGCACGCCCCGACAGTGCTAACTCCTCAGCAGGAGAAAATGCTCTGTCAAAAGTTTGGGGTTACTCCAGCTGAAGCACAGAGGATGTACTACTATCAGCAACACCAGCACATGATGGCGCTCCGGGAACAGCAGATTAAAGCTTATCAAATGCAAGAAGATATCGAACAAGCCAAGTCTGGGACTACAGATTCTGACAAGTCTAAGATTCTTGAGCAGATAAGACTGCTGCAGGATAAGACTGCTGCAGGAATCAAGAGAGGCAACTCCCCCGCAATTTCCATGGAGAAAATCAAACAAGAAGATAACGTGAATATGTCGGTGAAACAACAAAACGATACAATTCAGCTCATATTCCAGCGTCCAGTGAACGAGAAAACTGAATCCAAGGAGTCCGTAGAACATGAAAAACCTGTTATCAAACCTCACAAACCGATGTTGGAGTTGACGAAACCTACTCCTCCCGCTCACATCAAACAGGAATACATCAAGGATGTAGGGTCGGACAACAGTATGTCACCCCGTGAACTGCCTTTCGCTATCACGGGCCCGGACTTCACTCCCACAATCAAGCCTTGTAACCCTCCTACTGACGAGAAAACCACACGAGTTATTAACCTACACAAAGCTTTTCAAATGCTCAGTGATATGCTGGGGATGAAGCTCAAGAAGGATAATCTGGCCAGCTTGAACGAACTGAGGGTAAGTTTTATCCAGCTTTAATATGCTTGTTGGGCCCATAACCGTAACTATGAAAACCTAGCATAATACATGATAATATCGATGATAGGAATGTGTCGGTGACGTCATGTTTTGTAGGAAGCTAAATTAACGTCCTACTCCCACCCATTAAATACATATCATATCTTATTCCTAACCAGAACAATATCTCTCCCAGGTACAAAACATAATCCCTGGATCACTTCCCCACAACCTAGTATGTTACAACTGTATCATAGTCTTACACCCCAACAAACTGAAGCACATAGCACCTGGTCGCCCTTACTACGGTATCAAGGACGAACATGGTGCCACTTTCTGCTCAGATAGCTGCCTGGTAAATTAATTTTGTCTGCAACCGATTGTCTAGGTTGATTAGACATATTATATTGTGTGTGCTACAGATGTTGTTGTAAGAATATATTTAGTTTTGTGATTGGCTTTGTGCCATTTTCCTCCATCTCGTTTATTTACAGGCCCGAACTTTGTTCTCATTACTTGAACATTTGGTGCACCCTATTTTACATTTTAATGAATTTATGCTATGATGGAACATTTATTCTCAGAATATTGTACGTGATCACTTTGTACGTGTCTATTAATTAGATGAGGACGAAATTTATTGAAACTTATGACGTGCATTGAGGAATATTGACCTAAACCTCCGCAACAGGCGCAGTACTACTGCAAAAAGTTCTCTTCACTACGATCAGATGAACAGGGTCACCCCAAATCAGACCACATGATATGCAACCCTCCTCCACTACAACAACACATCTCCAGCCCAGCCCCTTCCAGTCCTGCTCATAGACCCGTGAGTAATGAGTTTTAGATCTGCCTCATCCCTAGGTATCCGACAAATGGTTCAAACTAACGGACGTGCTATTTGTCCTTTCTCTACAAATTTAGAAGGATAGTTGTGAGTCTGGGCATTCTGCTATCTGCTGACTTGTTCATAGTTCACTGTGACAGTTCACTGTGACAGGGGCTTGTTTACAGTTCACTGTGACAGGGGCTTGTTTACAGTTCACTGTGACAGGGGCTTGTTTACAGTTCACTGTGACAGCGGCTTGTTTACAGTTCACTGTGACAGGGGCTTGTTTACAGTTCACTGTGACAGCGGCTTGTTTACAGTTCACTGTGACAGCGGCTTGTTTACAGTTCACTGTGACAGGGGCTTGTTTACAGTTCACTGTGACAGGGGCTTGTTTACAGTTCACTGTGATATGGGCTTGTTTACAGTTCACTGTGATAGCGGCTTGTTTACAGTTCACTGTGACAGGGGCTTGTTTACAGTTCACTGTGACAGTGGCTTGTTTACAGTTCACTGTGACAGGGGCTTGTTTACAGTTCACTGTGACTAAGCATCTTGTTAAAACCTCAGTTAACTTCACCGGGAAAGAGGCGGAGACAGGGCGAATCATGGAAATATTGGAGGTTAGAGGACGTTACCGGTATGGAGAATCATCACATCAACATGGCTGAGGAGAACAACCGGCTCTTTGAGGCGGTCAGTTTACCTTATTTTATAAGAATTGCTTATTTCCTTAGAGCGGTGATATTATGTTAGGTGGTGTAATTACAAAACTGAAAAAAAACGAACTGAACAAATTTCTAGTAACAGCTCATACTTCGGTTTATGGACAATACTTATCTTTTAATTGCTATTGCTATGATTATTATTTGTGTTTTGTGACACACGTGACTAACACACGTGACCCACAGTTCAAGAAGTGGCACGAGGAACACACCACCACCACAGATGCAGTGGATCAGAGGGTGTGTTTGTTGTGTGGTTCGGTTGGGGACGGTTCTCCTAACGGTCCTAGCAGGTACTTATAATTACTTAATTAATTACACTTCTAAATTTCACCCTCATTTTTAGTTGTTGTCGCTCCTTGTGTGAGCGTTGTCGACAGATTCAAAATTAATGAACAACTCAACATTTTGTTAGTTCCTTCCTTATTTAGCGGGGTATAATAATTGAATGTAATTATTCCTGTTTTCAGACTGTTGAACTACCGTAAGAACACATGGATACACCTGAACTGTGCGTTGTGGAGTAATGACGTTTACGAGACACGTGACGGTGGTCTGGTCAATATTCCTCAGATTTGTAAACGTGCTCAGGATACCGTTAGTCATATATCCTTAACTTTTTACTTATATTACATACTATGCACTTAGTTTTATGAGTTTGGTTTTGGGACAAGGTTTTTCAGCTCTTGCTTTGCGAAAAAAAGCCCAACCCATTTTTGCATTGTATAAACATTATTGGGACCTTGAAATACGATCTGCCTGCAATTCATCACTGGATACGTTTATAACATTACAATTGAAACCTTATCTTTCAGACTTGCAGCTACTGTAATCGAATTGGTGCTAGCATTGTGTGCTTCAAGGCCAAGTGCAATGTAGCTTACCATTTTCTGTGTGCGAGACACTCAAAATGCGCATTTTACACCAACAAGGTATGGCAGATGATAAAATGTATATTATAAATTTACACAGCAATAAACATCATAGCTAGAAAATACTATCGGGGTTGTTGAATGTTGATTCTGTGAAACAGTACAGTACAGGTTTTCTTTTTTGCATCGCACTTGAAAATAATGATCTAAATAATGTGTTATTGTACTGTTTGAAGGTTTTCTAATTTACTATTTTCAGACGGTTTACTGTGCAGCTCATAAGTTCCAAGGGAATATCTGCGACGATTTCACTGTGAGACGACGTGTTGTCATCGAGAAAGACATCCAGCAACTTCTCACCAACGAGGGATTCAAAAACCCCGGAGATAAAATACGGATAGGCCCCATGATATTCCACCATCCCGGTCACATCTTGAATAACACTTCGAATTTTCACACAAGAGACATCATATATCCGTTTGATTACTCGGCTACACGAATATTTTGGAGTCCTGATACTTTGGGCAAGAGGTGCTCTTATCATTGTTCTATTGATGTGAAAAATGAGGCTCCTCTTTTCAAAATGTCGTATCAGAAACATGGCAAAACGGTAGAATTAGAAAACTCATGCGTTGATGCCCTTTGGAAAGAAGTGTTAGACTCAATCGCTTTACTGAGATCCAAAACCCCTGATATTTTAAGTATTCACGTGGTATTCCACACGGGTACATTCTTACATGGATTAACTGAAAGGAATCTGTTGAGGATAATAGAAGGTTTACCGGGGTCAGATAAGCTTGAAGGTTATACATTCTGTTACGGGCGTATTGAGACAGTAACCTTGGAACACTTAGTCCCTTTCAATCCCTCCCAGTCTGCTAGAACTGAAAAGTACACCAAGCACACTAAAAGGTTTGCATGCGTTTCAATCTTTATAACATTTTCATGTTTCCTTTACGTTTCTTTTCGACCTGTGTACAATGTGGGTCTATATGTTACACGCGCCCGCGGTCTACCTGTAATTTTGCGCCCAAATTTTTGAGAGCCTTCTCTTGCAAAGAGTGTATTAGTTAGCACTGTCCGTGGCGCGCCTAGTGCGCGCGTTCGACCCTCTTGGCATTTTCCTTCATTCTGATTGGTTGTTCGGTCGGTAACTTCGACAGTACAGTTCACTTGTGTACGAACGCTCTTACGGCGCTTGCTTCTTATCAACCGAAGTGTGGACAACACAAACTGTCAGAGCTATTGAACGAAGCCAAACCAGCGCCCCAAGAACATACTGTACGTGGGGTTACTTTTCCCGCTTTTTAAAGTGGACCACGAATATGGAAATCTGCCAACTCTTCTGTAATAGCTAATACCGGGTGACCGAAATCATGAGCGATTCCCAGACTGTGTGGATGCGATTTTAGTGTGTTTCACTTTTTTCAACTTCCAGAATCCAGATGAATAGCTCATATCGTCCCTATGCGGTCGTACGTGGTCGCTAGAAATCTGCTGCCTGTCGATTCCAACCATTCAATTTGAGCACAATACTTGTCCGTGTTAGCTACAAGTTTCTCTAAGTTTTGCTAAGCCGTAAAGTTAACAACTTGTCCCATCACATTATGGTAACTTAAACTGCCTAAATCTCCCTCAGAGTTGGTGGTCACAGACAAGTGTCGTCTTCCATACAAGGTTCCCAAGCTCCCAACCTTTGGAACAGAGAATTTGGAATGTTCCACGACATGCTACCTTATCAGAAATCCTTCAATCGAGGTATTTAAGTTTTAAGTTTTTAACCCAAATAGATAGACTTGGATATGGTGGAGAAGTGAGCCCTAATTTCCCTGTCACGTATTACTGTGATTGATCTATAGTCAGCTTTCAGCAGCGACCAATCAAATCTAGTATTTGATATAACGTGTTCAGAACTATGACTCACCACCCTACCTGTGTCCGAGGCTAGACCTTATTGAGAATTCTCTTTTCTTGGCAAACATCTTTCTTTGATATTATGGTGGCTCAATAGCTGATCCTCTATCCTCTCCAGCGTCACAATATCGACGATTGAAAACGGAGTGGAAACTCAATGTTCTTCTACGGAGATCTGGGATTCAGGGTCTGGGACTTTACGCAAGAAGATTCATCGACCGCAACACCATGGTCATCGAGTACGTGGGCCAGCTTGTACGGACGTCGTTATGTGATCAAAGAGAGATCTACTACAATAGCAAAAATATCGGGTGCTACATGTTCAAAGTTGACGATGTAGTAGCTGTTGATGCGACTCTGACCGGCGGGCCGGCTAGGTAACTTATCTTGAATATTACTTATTTATCCTATCTCAGATGGTTACCACGACTCACTTTCTCTTTTCATGTGGTATGATAACGGTGTTAAAAACTTGGTTTTAAACATATTTATCTTTGAATAATTTCTTGATTCAGCAATATTTTCAGATACATCAATCACTCATGTGAGCCTAATTGTGTAGCAGAGATAGTAACATTTGAACGAGAGAAAAAGATCATCATTATCTCAAATAGAAAGATCCGGCTAGGAGAAGAGGTTTGATGCCATTTCCAATCTAGCTACAAACATTTCATACGTCAACATTTAGGTTTCCCTCGTCTTGCCGGTTGGTTCCGAGTACCTCCACTGTTATATTGATGATCGTTTATTTCAGCTGACATACGATTACAAGTTTGACTTTGAAGACGATACTGAAAAGATCCCTTGTAATTGCGGCTCCGTCATCTGTCGGAAATGGATGAACTGAAAGGTCTTCCTTCATCTTGTTATCGATGCTGGAACGACCACTTCTCCTGTCGTGTGGAAATCTCGTAGATTGTCGGCTCTGTTGGGCTGTTCGTGCGCTTCCCTACCCGCTCTCAGATCACCGTTCACCCTTCTTGTGTTGTGTTTTTAAATTTGTATTTATATAATATAGTATTGAAATGCTTTGTAGAAGTTCTTGTCAGTATTTAATCGGCTGAACTGTTAGGGCTAGATTGTTTGGAGTTTTGGACTTCTTCCTCCTATCAATTAAAGTTTTCTGATATTGTAAGGTTTTATTTAACTCATTTGAGGATTTTTACCAAAATAGAAGTCCATTAAGCTTTGTAATCATGGATACTGTGATGATCAGATAAAGCTAATGGAACCTGAAGCAGTTTGATCTCGCTGCAATCTTGGCCCTAACACAGTTTCGGCTATCTGTGTTTAGCTTTGAGGACTGATCAATAATTTTGAGTATAGTATCTGCCTTATCTCAGCATTGAAAATATGTATATTTTAGAACTGCCCGTAAGATTGATAAGTTAATGTATATAGAAGGAAGGTAATTGGAGTTTGGATGATCCTGGTTTTGTTTGCGTTTATATTTTCCGATTGATCTGCCAGGAAGGGGACAGTTTCGATGTACCATCGTAAGTTTATCTGCGTCAGTTTGTAAGCTTTCAAGTCATTGATAGCCCCGTCCGTCATAAATGATAATGATTATTGAAGCTCAATGTAGTTTTGGCCGCTCTGCAATGTCGAATATTTATTTTTAATTTTTATGCTTTTTGTTGACACAGAAACTTATTTTATTTATATGATTTAAGTTGTATTTAAGTCACTCGCATCTTGATTTCATTTTATTAGGATTATAATATCTGCCATCGTTAACCACTTCATTTATTCTGAAAGTGAAATGATTTTGCAGCAGAGATAAAATGCTTGGGAAAATTGCTATCTATATTGATTTGATCACGTAGCTAAAAATTCTGTCGTTGCACGTTATATTGTGTTTTTTTTTTCTCATTTTCCGGCTTAGGGTGTAATATACTATTTCCATTTTAAGGGTTTACAGATTTTTGGACTTTGGCTTTCCAGTATTTTGCGATAAAGTTAGTTTTATTTATCTAGTGTTATGATTAAATTTAATTTTCTGGTATTAATCCGTAAATTTTATAACCTTCAAGTTGGTTGCGTTTTAATATCTAACTTCTAGTTAGTAGTGTATCGATGTGTTCTAATGTTATGCGATATTGGCAGTTACTAATTATTAGGAGGAGGAAAATTGAGTTTGTCCCTTAATAATAAAGTTTTGAATAATTGGATATATTAAACGATTTGATTTCCTTTATGATACGAGCATATTTCCCACAGATATATCATGTAACAATTTGTTTCATTTCTCCTCACCCATCGCATTCAGTCTGGTATTTTTGTGAAACTTTATTCCGAGATGGGGACCGACCAACTAAACAAACAACCCATGATGCATGAGAAGGACAAATATTTTGAGAGGATCACGAACCCTTAGCACCTAATTGTTTAACAGGGGCGCGCTCATACGTTAATCTTCTAACACGTTCTCTAGGTCGTAGGACGTAGGTTTTCCTGAAAGATTATTCAAAACCCTTATCCTCTACACGTCACGTAAACCGTAATCATCCCTGACCACTTAAACTAAAGCATAAAGGGGCGCGCTATATTATGAAATATGTTCATAACTTGCTTGACTCTTTAACGGGTCATAATAGTAAAATATAAACGTTCCGAATCGGCGCGCGTCTTGGTACGTTATAAACCTACAATTGATTCTCCGCTAAGTTTGTAGCGCGATGCACTACTGGGTCGCGCGCGCATCCAATAATGCTTCTCGCAAAGATAATGCAGATCGGCGAGATGCGAAGGATTGACATCGTGAATCAACCACTAAGTTGCCATCGACAAAATTTGTCATACGTTGCATGACCCGCCGCGCACGAGTGCGTGGCCCCCTTCATTCATGTTCACGATGTCAATCCTTCGCAACTCGGTGAGGCTCACTGCTCGGTGGTTGCTCTAACCAAAGCTTAATTGACGATGTCAATTCATGGCAGCTCGGCGCGGCACAGTAGCGCATTTCGCCGATCTAGCCAGACTTGACTGTGAGAAGCCTGGATGATGATTAATTACTCTACACTCGACTGTCACGTGACTTTTTCAACCCGTTCTCTAGCTGGTCCTGAGCGACTATTCGAAACCATAACCCTTTAATCTGATCCCAACCCTAACCCTAACCCAATCCTTAACAAAAGCATATGCTGAAACCCTAACCCTAACGAGAAATTAGACTAACTTCCTAATACGGTCATATCACGTGATCGAGACAGTTTTTCGCCAATATCTCGTCAGGGGCTAATATTAAATACTAGTGGACTCTATGCAGCTCTCCCAGCGCCCCTAATTTTACTGATCTGGAGGTCACATTTTATTGAGCCAGTACAGGCTAATATTAAATACTAGTGGACTCTATGCAGCTCTCCCAGCACCCCTAATTTTACTGATCTTGAAGTCACATTTTATTGAGCCAGTACAGGCTAATATTAAATACTAGTGGACTCTATGCAGCTCTCCCAGCACCCCTAATTTTACTGATCTGGAGGTCACATTTTATTGAGCCAGTACAGGCTAATATTAAATACTAGTGGACTCTATGCAGCTCTCCCAGCACCCCTAATTTTACTGATCTGGAGGTCACATTTTATTGAGCCAGTACAGGCTAATATTAAATACTAGTGGACTCTAAGCAGCTCTCCCAGCACCCCTAATGTTACTGATCTGGAGGTCACATTTTATTGAGCCAGTACAGGCTAATATTAAATACTAGTGGACTCTATGCAGCTCTCCCAGCGCCCCTAATTTTACTGATCTGGAGGTCACATTTTATTGAGCCAGTACAGGCTAATATTAAATACTAGTGGACTCTATGCAGCTCTCCCAGCACCCCTAATTTTACTGATCTGGAAGTCACATTTTATTGAGCCAGTACAGGCTAATATTAAATACTAGTGGACTCTATGCAGCTCTCCCAGCACCCCTAATTTTACTGATCTGGAGGTCACATTTTATTGAGCCAGTACAGGCTAATATTAAATACTAGTGGACTCTATGCAGCTCTCCCAGCACCCCTAATTTTACTGATCTGGAGGTCACATTTTATTGAGCCTATAAATCAAGAGGCTTGCATATAATGAACATATTGACACGGGTGCAGAGTTGAGTCTGTACGGAACCTAGTAGTTTCAGATCCTTGTTTAACTTGCCGTACAGCAAGGTCATCCACTACTTTAGCCCGGCGAGGCACATAACTCCCTCTACAACTCCATGACAAATGTTTAATATATACTAGCCGAGTTCACAAGAATATATCCTTGTGTTTGAGAAGAGCTCGTTAGAACTGCTTCCTTTCCCTTCAGTATCCCACAGTCTCTCGAGTTTCGTAACTGCCAGAGAACTCTCTTAAACAATTACTAGACTCGGTGATTATAAATCAAGAGGCTTGCATATAATGAACATATTGACACGGGTGCAGAGTTGAGTCTGTACGGAACCTAGTAGTTTCAGATCCTTGTTTAACTTGCCGTACAGCAAGGTCATCCACTACTTTAGCCCGGCGAGGCACATAACTCCCTCTACAACTCCATGACAAATGTTTCATATATACTAGCCGAGTTCACAAGAATATATCCTTGTGTTTGAGAAGAGCTCGTTAGAACTGCTTCCTTTCCCTTCAGTATCCCACAGTCTCTCGATGCAGTATATGCAATTCTGTTTTAGACTGTCAATTTATTTAAAAAAGGTCTCACCCTCTAAAATATTCTGTTGGAAATGTTTCTATTAATTTCACATTGGAAAACTTTTCATTGTGTTTGACCTCAGCTTAGATGTATTTGTTTTTTTTGCTATTTTTTAGCAACTCCAATTCTCTTTTGTAGAGCTGATTCTTGTTATATAGAAGTACACTCGATACAGTTATCTTATATAATATGAAAATATATTGAACAGCCAAACTACTGGTATATCTTTATATTGGGAAGAAAAATAATACAAGTTCTAGTATTCTTTTAAAAATAGCCGTTCATAACATTTACTTCATTTTAGGTATGTGTGTGTGAAACATCAGAACTGAATAATGGACCAGAGAATTCAGAGATCTTTGGTTACCTGTTTCCGGTTTCGTCGGTTCACACTTCACATTGCTGCGTTCCTGACCTAGCTTCGCCTGCATCAGTAGATCATATTATAATATGCATTATAGACTATAGTTATACAGCTTGAATTTGAAAGAGCTACATGGTTGTTGTTTCGAGTGCTTTTTCATCTGCTGTGATGAATTGGCAGACAGCATCAACGGTTACCAACATAATAGGTGCATTGCAAGTTGTGCAATGCTGAATGCATACGTTTCGTCAGTGACTTCCTTCTGCCTCATTGATGCGAAACTGATAATAAACATGCAAGAGAATACAGCTATAGTTACTCTGGACTGCCATGATAGAAACATTGAAACAGATATTGACTGGCTTTAGGTATGTGAGACGTAAGTATTGAAACCTCAAATTGTTATGATCAGGTTCAACATACTTGCTATGATCCTTTATATAATATCAATATATTATATAAAATATAATATATTACATTGTATATTAATCTTGATATAAAATCTTCGCTTTTTGATGATTGTAAGATGTTCTGTTTCGTTGTAACCTTGTCCCCTACATAATTATACTAGAAAACCCGTGGTCACAGGGAGGAAGCTAATACTATTCTTTGGTAGTCAGTTTCTATCGCATCAAAAAAATATTCATCACAACCGAAGATACAGCCAATTAAAATATAGCTCGCACTTAACACCACGTAATAACAAAAACCGATCAAAATGCCTCTCTCAAATCCTTGCACGTGCACGTGGGAACAACAATCTTCGTTACCATGGTTACTATGCAACTTCCTATTTCTCATCTAATTTGCACGTGGGCGGTCGTACAGACAGAAACAATTCTCTGAACTATAGTAGAGATAATAGTACATCATTACTTCCATTTTTCAGGTTTTTATTGGTGTTGCAAACGATGTAACGATCACTAAATTCTGTGCCTATGTGAGATTTGTTGGTTCATCGAATAACATCAAAGTTACAGTGTGAGTAATTCAACTATCATGCACTTCATATTTTATGTCCCCCTACTCATTGTTCACTCTCTGTCTTCATCAGTGTTACTCTACATTTCTCTCAGTAGTTACTCTTCCACTCAGTATTAACTCTCTGTCTTCATCAGTGTTACTCTACATTTCTCTCTGCAGTTATTCTTCCACTCAGTATTAACTCTCTGTCTTCATCAGTGTTACTCTATATTTCCCTCAGTAGTTATTCTCCCAATCAGTGTTAACTCTCTATCTTCATCAGTGTTACTCTAGACATTTCGTTCAGAAGTTATTCTCCCACTCAGTATTAACTCTCTGTCTTCGTCAGTGTTACTCTATATTTCCCTCAGTAGCTACTCTCCCACTCAGTATTAACTCTCTGTCTTCATCAGTGTTATTCTACATTTCCCTCAGTAGTTACTCTCACACTGAGAGTTAACTCTCTGTCTTCGTCAGTGTTACTCTATATTTCGCTCAGTAGTTATTCTCCCACTCAGTATTAACTCTCTGTCTTCGTCAGTATTACTCTACATTTCTCTCAGTAATTATTCTCCCACTCAGTATCAACTCTCTGTCTTCATCAGTGTTACTCTACATTTCTCTCAGTAGTTATTCTCCCACTCAGTATTAACTCTAGCTCTCTGTCTTCATCAGTGTTACTCTACATTTCTCTCAGCAGTTATTCTTCCACTCAGTATTAACTCTAGCTCTCTGTCTTCGTCAGTGTTACTCTATATTTCCCTCAGCAGTTATTCTCCCAATCAGTGTTAACTCTCTATCTTCATCAGTGTTACTCTAGACATTTCCTTCAGAAGTTAATCTCCCACTCGACTCAGTATTAACTCTCTGTCTTCGTGAGTGTTACTCTATTATATTTCCCTCAGTAGCTACTCTCCCACTCAGTATTAACTCTCTGTCTTCATCAGTGTTATTCTACATTTCCCTCAGTAGTTACTCTCACACTGAGAGTTAACTCTCTGTCTTCGTCAGTGTTACTCTATATTTCGCCCAGTAGTTATTCTCCCACTCAGTATTAACTCTCTGTCTTCGTCAGTATTACTCTACATTTCTCTCAGTAATTATTCTCCCACTCAGTATCAACTCTCTGTCTTCATCAGTGTTACTCTACATTTCTCTCAGTAGTTATTCTCCCACGCAGTATTAACTCTAGCTCTCTGTCTTCATCAGTGTTACTCTACATTTCTCTCAGCAGTTATTCTTCCACTCAGTATTAACTCTCTGTCTTCGTCAGTGTTACTCTATATTTCCCTCAGTAGTTATTCTCCCAATCAGTGTTAACTCTCTATCTTCATCAGTGTTACTCTAGACATTTCGTTCAGAAGTTATTCTCCCACTCAGTATTAACTCTCTGTCTTCGTCAGTGTTACTCTATATTTCCCTCAGTAGCTACTCTCCCACTCAGTATTAACTCTCTGTCTTCATCAGTGTTATTCTACATTTCCCTCGGTAGTTACTCTCACACTGAGAGTTAACTCTCTGTCTTCGTCAGTGTTACTCTATATTTCGCTCAGTAGTTATTCTCCCACTCAGTATTAACTCTCTGTCTTCGTCAGTATTACTCTACATTTCTCTCAGTAATTATTCTCCCACTCAGTATCAACTCTCTGTCTTCATCAGTGTTACTCTACATTTCTCTCAGTAGTTATTCTCCCACTCAGTATTAACTCTTTAACTCTAGCTCTCTGTCTTCATCAGTGTTACTCTACATTTCTCTCAGCAGTTATTCTTCCACTCAGTATTAACTCTAGCTCTCTGTCTTCGTCAGTGTTACTCTATATTTCCCTCAGTAGTTATTCTCCCAATCAGTGTTAACTCTCTATCTTCATCAGTGTTACTCTAGACATTTCCTTCAGAAGTTAATCTCCCACTCGACTCAGTATTAACTCTCTGTCTTCGTGAGTGTTACTCTATTATATTTCCCTCAGTAGCTACTCTCCCACTCAGTATTAACTCTCTGTCTTCATCAGTGTTATTCTACATTTCCCTCAGTAGTTACTCTCACACTGAGAGTTAACTCTCTGTCTTCGTCAGTGTTACTCTATATTTCGCTCAGTAGTTATTCTCCCACTCAGTATTAACTCTCTGTCTTCGTCAGTATTACTCTACATTTCTCTCAGTAATTATTCTCCCACTCAGTATCAACTCTCTGTCTTCATCAGTGTTACTCTACATTTCTCTCAGTAGTTATTCTCCCACGCAGTATTAACTCTAGCTCTCTGTCTTCATCAGTGTTACTCTACATTTCTCTCAGCAGTTATTCTTCCACTCAGTATTAACTCTCTGTCTTCGTCAGTGTTACTCTATATTTCCCTCAGTAGTTATTCTCCCAATCAGTGTTAACTCTCTATCTTCATCAGTGTTACTCTAGACATTTCGTTCAGAAGTTATTCTCCCACTCAGTATTAACTCTCTGTCTTCGTCAGTGTTACTCTATATTTCCCTCAGTAGCTACTCTCCCACTCAGTATTAACTCTCTGTCTTCATCAGTGTTATTCTACATTTCCCTCAGTAGTTACTCTCACACTGAGAGTTAACTCTCTGTCTTCGTCAGTGTTACTCTATATTTCGCTCAGTAGTTATTCTCCCACTCAGTATTAACTCTCTGTCTTCGTCAGTATTACTCTACATTTCTCTCAGTAATTATTCTCCCACTCAGTATCAACTCTCTGTCTTCATCAGTGTTACTCTACATTTCTCTCAGTAGTTATTCTCCCACTCAGTATTAACTCTTTAACTCTAGCTCTCTGTCTTCATCAGTGTTACTCTACATTTCTCTCAGCAGTTATTCTTCCACTCAGTATTAACTCTAGCTCTCTGTCTTCGTCAGTGTTACTCTATATTTCCCTCAGTAGTTATTCTCCCAATCAGTGTTAACTCTCTATCTTCATCAGTGTTACTCTAGACATTTCCTTCAGAAGTTAATCTCCCACTCGACTCAGTATTAACTCTCTGTCTTCGTGAGTGTTACTCTATTATATTTCCCTCAGTAGCTACTCTCCCACTCAGTATTAACTCTCTGTCTTCATCAGTGTTATTCTACATTTCCCTCAGTATAGTTACTCTCACACTGAGAGTTAACTCTCTGTCTCTATCAGTGTAACTCTACATTTCTCTCAGTAGTTACTCTTTCACTCAGTTTTAACTCTCTGTCGTCATCAGTGTTACTCTACATTTCTCTCATCTTAGTTATTCTCCCACTCAGTATTAACTCTCTGTCTTCGTCAGTGTTACTCTATATTTCCCTCAGTAGTTACTATCACACTGAGAGTTAACTCTCTGTCTTTGTCAGTGTTACTCTATATTTTGCTCAGTAGTTATTCTCCCACTCAGTATTAACTCTCTGTCTTCGTCAGTATTACTCTACATTTCCCTCAGTAGTTATTCTCCCACTCAGTATTAACTCTCTGTCTTCGTCAGTGTTACTATATATTTCCCTCAGTAGCTACTCTTCCACTCAGTATTAACTCTCTGTCTTCATCAGTGTTATTCTACATTTCCCTCAGTACTCAGTAGTTACTCTCACACTGAGAGTTAACTCTCTGTTAACTTCTCTGTCTTTCCCTCAGTAGTTATTCTCCCAATCAGTGTTAACTCTCTATCTTCATCAGTGTTACTCTAGACATTTCCTTCAGAAGTTATTCCCTCACTCAGTATTAACTCTCTGTCTTTGTCAGTGATACTCTACATTTCCCTCATGCTCAGTAGTTATTCTCCCACTAAGTATTAACTCTCTGTCTTCGTCAGTGTTATTCTATATTTCCCTCAGTAGCTACTCTCCCACTCAGTATTAACTCTCTGTCTTCATCAGTGTTATTCTACATTTCCCTCAGTACTCAGTAGTTACTCTCACACTGAGAGTTAACTCTCTGTTAACTTCTCTGTCTTTCCCTCAGTAGTTATTCTTCCAATCAGTGTTAACTCTCTATCTTCATCAGTGTTACTCTAGACATTTCCTTCAGAAGTTATTCTCCCACTCAGTATTAACTCTCTGTCTTCGTCAGTGATACTCTACATTTCCCTCATGCTCAGTAGTTACTCTCCCATTTAGTGGTAACTCTCTGTCTTCATCAGTGTTACTCTACGTTTCCCTCATTAATTACTCTTCCACTCAAACTTCTCTGGGATTGGTGGAAAAAGAAGAGAAAACTTCGACTGAAATACGATAAGGGTGAGTTAAAAGTTTCAAACCCGCTTAAAACGACGACACTAACTTGGTGCTATATCACTACATAATATGTGCAAGGCAAATTTCTGGAGAATCGAGTATTTTTTTGTAATAATTTGAATTATAAAGCGACAAAATATTATGTGTTCTCTCTTGGTTTGATTTTTTGAACAACAGCCAGTAATTTTAGAAGGTAAACGGTCAAGCAAAGTGTGCAAGGTCGTTGATGGAGTATTCTATGTGAAATCCTCTCACCGGTCTGAGCCCCACCAACTGAACATCAGAGGACCAACTTGCACCTGCAGACATATTTTTCAAGCTATTGATGATGGTTTAATGAAATGCAATGGGAGGACCTACCTGAAGATTACAGAAACATACTGTTCTTCGTAAAAGATAAAGGTCTGTTAAATTGATCTGTATGCATGTTTACATTCCAATTTGAATAGACAAGACAAAATTGAGGTTCATAACTCGTTCATGTGCTATGGCAGTGCGTCCGCGTCGATGTAGGAGGTGTGGAGCCTGCTAGTAGAGAAAATATGAAGTTTCCAACAGTAAATATTATTATCAATATCAAAGGCAGGGCATTACTTCGACCTCCGAGGCGAGGTATCCGTGTGGACCCTGGTTGTTATCAGGGTTGGAAAGACAAAGATAATTTTGTCTGTTAAAGTGGGTTATCACTCTCTGCCATCAGACTCATAAATCACATCTCCGCAGGGTTTGCCAGGTTTTCCCTATTGCTTTGCTTCCAATTCTTATAATAGTCAAAATATAAAATCCGATATTATTTTTGCAGGAAGTGATATTGGGATATGGCCAGCTGATGCAGATGTAAACAAATGCTGCGATTATCCAGCATCAGAAGACGAGGATGAAGAAGTAGAAGATGATGAGGTTGGAGGAAATGAGGATAAAAGAAAGAAGAAACGGGACATAGACTATAAAGGAGATTGGCGGGAGCTTTCAAACAGAATAACTTCCTTCGTTAATGATCCTGAGTTTGACGTGATGGACGATGATGTCCGTGCATTATTATATAAGAAACTGTCAGATACCGTCAATGATGTGGCATCCTATATTTACAAAAGAAACTAAATTAGATAACATAGATAAGATAATGTTTGATAATATATTACTTTAAAAGCCGTGCAATCATTTTAGATATTAGATATTAAACTAACCATATTATGATATTCTCCGTCTAACTATTCGATCTGTCTCCATCTCACTATTCAATCTGTCTCAATGTTCATTCTCTGTCTCGACGTTCATTCTCCGTCTCACTATTCAATCTGTCTCAATGTTCATTCTCTGTCTCGACGTTCATTCTCCGTCTCACTATTCAATCTGTCTCAATGTTCATTCTCTGTCTCGACGTTCATTCTCCGTCTCACTATTCAATCTGTCTCGACGTTCATTATTTGTTTAACTATTCAATCTCTTTCTCAGTGATCATTCTTTGTTTAACTATTAAATCACTGTTCATTCCTGTCTCGACGTTAATTCTCCGTCTCATTATTCAATCTCTGCATCAGTGTTCATTCTCTATTTTAGAGTCAATTCCCTGTCTTACCTATCAATCTTTCTCGGTGTTCATTCCCTGTCTGACTGTTCAATTTCTGTCTCACTGTCCATTCTCTGTCTCGCTGTTCAATCTTCGTGTTTCTTTCAAAGTGTTACAGTGACAAGGAGACCGAATGATATTGTTGTAAAATAAAAAGCTTGTCCGCTTTAGTTATAGTGGTATTAAAACATATACAACACCATGTATTATGAAATTTTAGATTTTGTTACAAAATATGGACAGTGAATTTGATGTTGTTGTCTAATAATACAAGACGTGAGGCGCGGCGACATTATAAATTTTAGAATTGCCCGCGCATTTTAGTACTTTGCCGCGGCTCCACTAGTATTTAACGTTTACCCTCGTCAGGGGAGCATTTTAACCCTATGTCATGGGGGGGTGATTCGGAATCAGCGTTCGAAAAATACATCGATAGAATTAGGTTTGAACTGTCGGGGGCTCTTTTAGAACAATCTCGAAGATCGACTATAAAGTGATTTAGCACGCTCGGAGAAGCCTCATTGACAATTGAGTGCGCGGCGCGGCACAGTAACGCATCGCGCTACAAACCAGAGCCCTCTCGCTTGCAGTAGCGCGCGACCGCCGAAGGCAAAGGATATATATTCAACTTGTGAAACAAGCGCGTCACGCAGTACGCGTATACACATGGCTATGTGAAGCTCAGTGGTGCATCTCGCCGATATACCGAAGGTGGTTGCGAGACGAATTATATTTGATGCGCAGCACGGCCCAGTAGTTTGACGACTGTTACTCGTCTAAATTTCTTCAAAGTAGCGGCGCGCGCGCCGCTTTCTTCTCGAGCTACGAAGTAGCGCGCGCCAGACCATTGACAATGGTCAACCCAGTAATGCATCGCGCTACAAGCGGCCCCCGGCATGTAACGTAGAAACGCTACAAGCCTACAGGGCCGCCACTTAGTAAAGTGACAATGGCCGGGGTCACAACGTGATACAAAACAAAAGTTACTCTATACTCACTTATGACTTAACGGGTGATAAGCGTAAAGTATTTGTTTCAAATATAAGGACCGTCGACGAGTCCAACTCGGCGCGCACGTTCTGGTAAGTTATAAATCTACAATGTACTCACGCACACGCCATTGCATTGTTTTTCGTGAGAATTAGAAATCTGCAGAAATAAGACAATAGCGTTTTGAGCTTGTGATTCTCTTTTAAAAGTATGAAATGAAATGAAATGAAATGAGGTATTTATACCCCGCTCATATGATTAACCAACAACACAAGGAAGGTGGTTAACCATGTCAAAGCGGCTGACTGTGAGTGATGTGAGCAAATGTGTAAAAATGAACAAGAGTATAACGTAATATTAATATAAGATCAAGACAAAATTAAAACATCTTTTATTTTAAACCACACTAAACTAAAAAGAAGCAGAGACCATACAATACATGTAGGTATAATAAAGGTTAGTACAGTGACATAGAAAGGTAGAGAACTTAGACATAAAATGGAGTGCGGTAAGAAATAAAAGCCAAGGTGTCTTGCAAAATGAAGACAAATGGAGAAAAAAAAATCAAAACTGATTATATAAATGGTTCTTTAACATTCGCTTGAAGCAGTTGGTATCAGTAATACATCTCAACATCAGTGGAAGAGAGTTCCATGCAATCGGTGCATGGCTTGAGAAACGTCTGTCATCAACTTTGGACTTTTTATTCTTTGGTACCTTGAGCATGAGATGGTCACCAGGTCTCTTCGACCTGGTCATGGTCATGGTGTTTGAGAGTTCTTTATCCGCTTCATCCAAATCCAGTAGTGCTTTGAGGTAATCAGGTGCAGTACCGTGAACTGATTTGTGGGTTAATAGACAAACTTTAAAGAATATTCGTTGGTCTATAGGGAGTATGTGGGCCTTCTTATAGAAGGGAACATCACATAAAAACTTTCAATACTTGGGGGCAAAATGTTGGAATAATGTTCCAACAGATCTACGAAATCTGCCCGATGTTAAAAGCCTTAGTGATTCGTATAAGAAACAGCTACTCTCATCTATAACAACAGACCCTAATTATGCCGTCGACAATTCATATGACAAATTTTACACTGCAATCATAGTCGACGATAACTAAGTATCTTCTAATTCTTTTAAATCTGAGGCATATATAATTGATGTATCGAAAGGATATTCCCTTTTTTACCACCTTACCATTCTGATTGATTTTGCACATGACTGACATGTTCTAACTGGAGAAGGGGTTCGCACAGTGGTAGTTTTATAAACCACTTTTAATTTATTGACCTATTATACCTAGTGGTAGTTTTATAGACCACATTTAATTTATTAACTTATTATACTTAACATTTTTTTTGGTGACTGTTTCACCCAGTTTTAACCTTTGGTAATTGTACAGTTTATTGACGACACATTGACTGAATGTTATTTTATATTCTAATTTCTATTCTAGATATTTTATTTATTTTTCAACAGACGACAACTTTCTGTCTTTTCTTCTATATTAGTTACTCATATCTCTTGTACAGACTGTTTTACAAGGACATTGACAGATGATACTCACATTAGGCATTCATTATTGCATCTAAATTATTTCACTTGCATTAGGTTTAGAAATTTATTCTCTGGTTAACAGATTCAAATGTTTAATTAATCTGTAATATGACAGTAAGGTATCGTATATAAGAAGTTATTTAATTTTGCTTGGGCTATTATATTGACTATTGAGGTTTAATGATGATATGGATTTTGAATATTATATAAATTTACACTATGTGGTTGGGGCATTTTGCATAGTAAATATGGTTCCTACTCCTATATAATATATCATATTATTTGATTGGTATTCGATTTCTGATAATTTTTCTAGGAATATGATTATTATATCTCAATTTGGCTTTAGGTAGGGTGCCCCGCTAAAAGAACTGGATTCTTCCAGGAAGCATCCCGTGCACAGAGCTTGGTCTACATATATAATAAATTATTAACCATTCATTATGTATGTGCACGAAAATTTATTTCAATATTTCAAAACCAAGTCCGTGGTTCTGTCTTCTATGTTATAGATGAAACGAACTGCCCCATTAAGGGTGGATCTAAGTTTGTTTAGTCTGGTCTTGGGTAGATTCATGTATAGAGAATTACAGTTATCTAATTTAGATATAACCAGTTGTTTCACCAACATCAATTTAATGCCTTCATTCAGGTAACGACCAATAGTTCTTAGGTTCATCATTGTCCAGCTACATTTCCTTTTGACATTATTGATCTGTCTTTCCATATTTAAAGTTTCATCAAATTTGACTCCCAGACTCTTCCAGCTGTCTCCTTTGCACTCCGTAGGTAGAATTTCAGTGCTTCCAAATTGCAGTCTGACACTGAGTTCACACTTTTTTAGAATATGGCTCTTTCCTAACACCAATAGTTCTGTCTTACTTTCATTCAGTTTCATGTAATTCTTCACCATCCATGCTTTTATCTCTGCGAGACATTTGTTTGTTCTGTCTTGGACATCAGTGAACTGTACCACACGGTTTGGTTGAAATGAGATGTACAGTTGAGAATCATCTGCATAGAGCTGTATATCAAGACCATATTTGGCCGCAATTTTCTGGAGAGCTTTGATATAGATGATGAAAAGAATAGGCCCCAAGAGTGATCCCTGGGGAACTCCAAACAAAAGCTCCAGGAAGGAAGAAAGAGTATTATCAATCTTGACACAGAAATGTCTTTTCTCAAGGTAGGACTTTATCCATTGCAGCGCAATTCCAGTAATTCCGTAGTCTTTCATAAGCTTTTCCAATAAGACTGTGTGGTCAATGGTATCAAATGCTGCACTTAAGTCAAGAAGTACAACTATGACAACATTCCCAGCTTCAATTTCTTTGTTAAGATCATCACACATTCTTACAAGTAATGTTTCACAGCTGTGATTAGGGCGGTATCCAGATTGGACTTCTGAGTAAAGGCTATGATTCGTAAGATGGACATTGAGCTGGTTTAGTACAATTCTCTCTAGGATCTTAGAGAAGGCAGAGAGGTTATTCCAAGTAATTTGTATAAATGCACATTGCACATATTTATTCTAAATTCATTACAAAATACTTAATCTCAATTCATGAATTAAGTTAAAAAGAACTAGTACATAGTTATAATAGTTATTTGTTATACCCAGAAACCCTTACTGGCCAGGGCCTAACTTCAAAAGTTAAAGAGATATAATTACGATTTCCGGTTTTTTGTAACATGTTCGTTTTGTAAAAGTAACGTTACCTCACCAGGAGGAAAATTCAGAAAAGTCTCATTTTGGGCCGATCACAAGTTTGCAACTTTAACTTGTCGCGCGCGACATTCATAAAGAAATGATAGCATAATGTACGTCAATTAATATTGTAGCACTATACCAAACAAAGACACAACGGCGAGACATGCAATTCTGTTAATAATACACTTATAAGTTCCATGGGAATATCAGCTCAATTGCTCTAACCAGAGCCCTCTCTCTTGCAGTAGCGCGCGACCGCAGTAAGCGCGTCACTTAGTACGCGTAGACACATGGCTATATATATGAATCAGCTCAACAACACTGAACACCGTGTTTTTGCAACTGGTATGTTTTCTCGCTCCTACTATAAAATCGATCGCCCAAATTTTAAGAAAATTCTTGTGAAAAGGCCCTTTAGGTGTGAAATTGATCTGAATCGGTGTATTTTTGGACGCTGATTGCGAATCACCCCCATTGCCCATGACGTGGGGTAAAAATGTTGCCACGGAGAGTTGTGGGCAAAAAACCGTTTTGGTCACGTGACAGGCTAGTAAAACATGAATTCGATTGTTTAGGGCTCGAGTTGATAAGAGTTATGGCTAGCTTCGGGGTTATGGTTAGGGCCGGGTTAGGGTTGGGATTTATAGGGTTTATTATATATGTAAAACTTAACCGTTTTGTACGGCTGCAAAACCATAAAAACCAAAGTCAGTAAAATGTTTTGGCGAGCGAATTAGTAAGAGCCATGTTTTCTATTTATGTTATCATCAGTAATTAAAGTAATAGGGGTTCACCTAACCATGTGCTTTCGCGCCGCTACTGCAAGCGCAAGGGCTCTGGATAGAGCAATAATAGGATAGAGCAATAATAGGTTAGAGCAATAATAGGGTTAACGGGGAAAAATTGATGTCCTGTCTACTGCAAGCGAGAGGGCTCTGGTTAGAGCAATGTTTGAGGTTATCCATAAATCTTTACTTTATGGTCATATTTTGTACCATTTTTCTCATACACTTTAAACTTGTGTATAGGGGGAAGAGGGGCATTGGGACAGCCTTAACTGCAATTTCTGTAAAATTGCTATCTACCACAAAAACCGAACTGTCACCTACCATGTCACCGAAACAGACTGTTCAGTTACTTTTTTGGTATTACCAGCAGCTGGCTTGGGGTCATGTCTAGGTGTGGTCTGGTTTTTCTATCTCTCCTTAATATTTCCCCTTATAGTAATTTGCAATTGTTCCTCACTAAACCCTGGACCAAATTTATCCGTTGTTTACAACAATGTCTATGGTTTCCTAAATACCTGCGATCATTTGTTTCTCTATATCTACAAACATAAGCCTCACATCATTATTCTAAACGAGACATGGCTGAAAAATTCCATTCTCAGTAATGAGGTGCTCCCTGACAAATACATAGTATTTAGGCTTGACCGATCCTTAAGATCGCATTCAGTGGATGCAACCCAGCCCAAGAAATTCAGAAAAAACGGTGGTGGTTTTCTGATTGCCCATAGAACAGACATTGATATCTCGAGTTTAAAGTTCTCAAAGGTTAGTGTTCAAGCTGAATTATTATCCGTCATAATTAAGACTCAGTGTGGAAGAAACTTTTGTATATATCAACGTTCTATAGAGTAGGAACGCTTGGCTTAGATACTTTTGAATCTTTCATAATAACCCTAATTGCTAATTGATACTTAGACTGGGATGGGCTCATTTTAGTGTTTTTCATTTCGTTATTAAACATTGAAATTTGACACAATATAAAATGTAAAACTAAAAGTATATAAATTGTAAATACTTAAATTTTATTAATTTTTTAAATTTATTGACAGAAGCATACTTTTAGGTGTTTAACCTTATCCTTATTGCTTATAATTAGACAATTACAACTGTTCCATCTGTTTTTGTATATTATTTTATGTAATAAGCACCATTCCTGCATACACATGCGTTAGCACAATTTTTTTTGTCTGATCGCGATTTTGATAAATTTGGTACCAGAAGTTTTTGTAGCGTGATGCACTACTAATAACGTCCACAGTTTCAGTTATTTGAAAATAATTTTCATGATCCTTCAAAATATTCGATATTTTAGAAGTTATAGGCAGTTAAAGCGAGAAATTATCTATTTTTCGTCATTCTACACACCTGAAATGCACAAAAGGCCCACATACAGATCGACCTAATCGCATGATCGTACTGCATGATGAATTTGTATTATTTACACTAAGAGGCAACTTTTGGTACAAAATTTAACAAAATCAGAGACAACAAATTCTGTGCCAACTCATGGCACTTATTGCATAGATTATATTGTTTGAATAATGTTTGTGTTCTAGGACGTCTCATGCATCAAAAAAATAAACGCTTAAAAGAAACCAAAATAGTCAACTGAAGGGCTTTTCCGTTAACTTGTCCTACTCGATGTAAGTTCCTACTGTTTCCTTCTTCAGTAAACACAAAATAATACTGTATAGAATAATATTGATTTGAATTAATCCGAGTACCAATCTTGGTTGGAGATTAAAGACAAACTGTGAGCATGCAATAGCGAGAAAGGCTCCTATCTTATTAAATGTTAATCCACATGTCAACACAAATGATCTCACTTCTGTTGGGAAATATTCTGATCCCACTACTGTTGGACAATTTCCTATCTGAGCTGCACTGAATTTCAATAATGAAAACAGCACAAAGGTGTATGTTTTGTTTACACAGAAATAAAGCGCTGTCAGAGTTATCAGTTGCAATACAGGTGACGATTGAAAATACTTTATCCGGCCAATAATTTCCATCAGAAAGACCCCCACTAGCACTCCCAGAGGCTCAAATAAACTGAGTACCCCCAGATCAAAAAATTCCAGTTTATTAAATTTACAAGATTGGAATTGTGCCACCTTTTTATCGAAGCAGTACCTTTCATTTATAAATCTTGGCATCGAGTAGCCGATACTGTAGTAATCGAATTCTGCTGCTACACACAAAGCTAAGAAAACTACAAAATCCTGCATACATCCAGTTGCCTTTATAAAGTTTAAGCCACTATTATAGAATCCTGTTCTATCATTGGTTTCATCGTCACGAGTAGTTTTCTCCCTTTTCAATTTGATGCGGCTTCCAGTGGTACAGTTAAACTTGGCAATGGTTTGTACAGTACTTTCCGCTTTGTCCCAATTGCCCTTAATAGCGTCAAATCTCGGAGACTCTTCTATGATGGCCAAAAATAATATTGATGGTGAGAACATGATTGCAGTTCCTACCATTAGGCCTCTCCAGCCGTAGGGATCAACAACAAAATAAGCCAAAGCACTTGTCAGTGAACCACCAATCCCCCCGGCTATGGCAGTAAAGGAGATCAAAAATCCTCTAATTTTGATAGTCGATATTTCCGCTGAGAAATTTTATCAGATTAAACCTTGGGCAGATATAAAGATCATCCCTATCAATTTCAAATATAATGTACTCATCCTCCTTTGCTTGCCAAAATTCATATCGAAAGTAATACTTGAATGTGTTAATCAATCAAATAAGTGAAAGGTTTACAAAAAGAAGTATAAATAAACCTGTAAGAGCTGTAGTAGGACCAATTGATGCCCCCATAAACACTCCACAAAATCCACGAAGAACTAACAGATGCCAGAATTCTGTAGCTTGTCCACATAACAATCCTGTTATGGTTACTCCTACGGCTCCAGCTAGAGCTAATGGCTTCCTACCAAATCTATCACCCGCTCCAGAAAATAGTATCGATGCCATCCCCGATCCTATGAACACAGTTGCCTGCAGAGCAAAGAAGAAGTGACAATAATATGAGTTGATTTGCAACATTTATCAACTATTAAAAACATAATTGAATCAAAAACCAAAACTCTTGAATCTGTAAAAGAAAACTTTCATTTAATTCAGTAAGGGATTACCTGGAGAGCGGTTACCCAGAAAGTTGTCAGGTTCCACTCACATTTCACCATTGTCCCCACTATTGTCAAAATTATCATTTCTCCCCCTTCCAAACAAAACAGCAAAAATGGACCCAAACTGTAAAGAAGGGTTCCCCACCCAAATCCTGCTATTTCCATTGCTTCATTTATGTCTACTTCCTCCTCATCGTTTTGGCTGGTCTTGTCGTTGTTTTTTGTCTGTAAGTGTTCCTTTAGCTGCGTAGTCTCATCAACAGCTGACATTTTCGCTCTTAATAATACTCTACTTTATTTACTGATCGATTTCAAGTTACAGGTTGATTTTGAGCAGACATTTATAGAAACATGTAACTGAGCAAACGAGAAAGTGCATACCAGAATCATGTTATTTGAGATCCTGGCGAGGTTCGCTGTTTATCAGTCTCATGATAAGATAATGATTCCAGGGATAATATCCGGTAGTAGAGACTAGGTAGGACAAATGAAACTACTGTTTACTCCTAAACAGTAGTTTCACTTGTCCTACCTAGTCTTTACTACCGGATATTATACCTGGAATCACAATCATGTTATTGTTAAATAACTTGATTTTAACCTCACTATGGCCATGGGAGAGCTCAAAGTTAAACTTGGACATCGTGTGAAACAACAATAAGGAAATGAGTTAACTTTCATTTATCATCTTTTCATTGTCCTTTGTTAGCACTGGTGTGTGAGCTTTGTTTTGATATCGGAATTTTGGGGCAACTATGCAGACGTTCAGACTATGCAGCGTAGTTGTACCCAGTATAACGAGGAATGTTAGAGGAATTTTAAGTGAGCAGGGTACACAGTACCTCTCAAATTATAGCAATTTGAGGAATTGGCCACTTAGACGTGGAAGTTATGTCATTTCTACGATTTATCTGAGTACATAATCTTACTATATGGACACGTTCATTGAAGTTTGAGGATATTGGTAAATTTCTAAAATAACGTTTTCGACGATAGTGGCTTAATTTTAGTATCTATTAATCTAGCGTGTTCATAAGTTCTGAACATTAGCCACGTGACCCATACTCCCATATGCACTGCTCAGAAATAAAATGTATTGCTTTTAGGCACTATAATGTAAAAAATGTCACATTTTTGTGACATTGTTTACCATAGCTGCCCAATTATCATTCCTTGGTCTGAAATATAGTAGATTATGTCAATCTAACAATTATGATACAACATTGGTTAAAGGGCAGGGATCGAACGGCTTTAAGGCAATATTTCGTACACTTTGTCACACTCAGAATACGAGACCTCTTTTCTACTGTGAGGTGTCCTCAAAACCCTTTCAACTCATTATTTGATGGTTCTTCTGCCAATCATAGCCCTAAAATATGTTGTTTTGAAAAGTTAGCAAATACATGCACTTGGTTATTGGGAAATGATGTAAATTCTGTCACATTATATGGAATTTGAATTTCTGGGTGAATTTCCGAAATCATTTATATCTGATTTTGGTTTGGAAGGCGGGAAAACTCTATATAAGGACGATACACGGATACAGTTGATTCAAGTATAGGGCAGTTGATGTAAACATCGTCACAAAATGATACGACATCGTAAATAGGTTACATTTTGCGGTGAAAATCTATATAAGGACGATACACGGATACAGTTTATTCAAGTATAGGGCAGTTGTTGTAAACATCGTCACAAAATGATACGACATCGTAAATAGGTTACATTTTGCGGGAAAACTCTATAAGTCTATATATAAGGACGATACACGGATACAGTTGATTCAAGTATAGGGCAGTTGATGTAAACATCGTCACAAAATGACATCGTAAATAGGTTAAATTTGGAAAAAATGATTATAGAATGAAATAGTCTGGGTTTCTAAATTTCCTGTATAAATCCATTCTAAATATAATAAGGACTATTGATATGAAGGTAAATCTATCTAAATTTTAAAATGACGTATGTGACGAAATTTACATTTCTTGCCCCTATTTTGAAGAACCATACCTCGGTTAAAATACAATTTTCTTCCAGGAATTATTGTTTGGTTATTGTTCAGCAAATTAGAACTCAAGTTTAACAATGCTGAGTTTAATTTTACTAAGTTACTGAAATGTGACGAAATTTACTTTTCCTGCCCCAACAGTATAATATCAATGTGATGAAAAATTGGCATGGGTTTCTATATTTCCTTTGTAAATCCATTCTAACTATAATAAGGACTGTTGATACGAAAGAAAATCTATCTAACTAATGCAAGGGCTGATGTGACGAAATTTACATTTCTTGTCCCTATTTTGAAGAATCATACCTCGAATAGGATATAATTTTACTCTATCACCATACCTATGTCGATAAACTAATTATTTTGCCAACAAATAGCAAATAAAGTTATCATATTTTTTTGTGACGAAATTTACAAATTTTTACCATGTTCAGGTGTTGAAATTTTGCCAATGTTAACATATCACTGCCATATAATAATTTATATGACCGGTGTGTGCTTGAAATATTGTTAATTGATCCTTAGTACGTAATATATGGTGTTTAAGTTGGTATACTAATATTTACTCAATTTCACACATGTTGAGATATCAATAAAATATGTGAACAATTCCAAACACATTCAGCTCACAAAATAATGCTAGACTATTCTGCATTTCTTGTCAGGATGTCATAAACATCCCTCATATCAATTTCATAAATGTGTGACAGAGTTTACATGGTGCTACCATTTAACGAAAAAAGTCGCTAAATATGTAGATAATAGTCATATGCAACTATCCTATAAATTTGAAATTCGAAAATTTGGTCAAACACGGCAACAAGGGGTCCATATAAACTCTGTCACGTTTTTATAGTGTGACAAAGTTTACAACTCACTGCCGGCCGCATTTAAGCGATATCTTATCGTCTGATAAAGATATCGTTATGCGACAAAGTTTATCTAGAGGATGAAACGATTATCCTAACCATTGAGGGTTTATATAGTTTTATAGTGTGACACATTTTACATCATCGTGCCATTTAGTAGGGTCAATAATATTTACCAATATCCTCAAACTTCAATGAACGTGTCCATATATAAAGCGAGACGATATATATATATATATATATTTATTAAACCGCTCCATTTTACTGACACCACGGCATCAACTTTAACACGACTTTCCGCAAAAACCGTAAAAGATATACAATTGAAACTTTTTTGACTCGGTCAAATACTTTAATGGCCTTCAAATCAGCATGAAACAATAAAAAATTGGCCAAGAAATAGGAGTTTTAGAGCCCAAAATTTGGACCCCCAAGTGGTGTCAAAAACGCGAATTAAATAGGTAATAATTATTTTAGTCTCTTGAGTCTTGACACCACTTTAGGGTTAGACGGGTTCCTGCTAGTATAGCTAATGTCGGTGATTTGACTCGTATTTGTTGAGCTGTATTCCATCGCAATAGATATTTTCAACGATTTTGGAATAATCTGTAGCATATAATAGATTTATAATTCAGAACAAGCTTTAAACTTTAAAAGCTGATATTAGATGAAATTAAGAGCTTTTAAATGACCTGACAAAAGTTAAAGAGGAGTTGGAGACTTTAACGTCCCAGCTTATCTTTGATAAACGTTTTGTTATTTAGCCAAACTTTCATTTGTCTTGAGATAACATCTTAATTTATTGCCCCATCATGTTTTCTAGCTTCTTCTTCACGTCGTATATTAGCTCCTCAATTTCCACGTTCACATAGATAAACAGTCTGAATCTCAGGACAGTAATGAAAAATGAGTGGAGAGCAAAGTCATGAGATAGATGAAGAAGAGGTACATTCCTATAGGATATACACTATTACATTCCTATAGGATATACACTATTACTATTACTATTACTATTACTACCTCTGCAGTTTATTCTTATGATAAATGTTGATTAATTTAATGAAAAAGATGCCAGTATATCTCTGAAAGCGATTGATTTATTGTTATTTGCAGGTACTAAAAGGTGTAAGCATGCTGCAACAGGAGCTTGAACTTGAAAGGTCATTAAATCATGGACTGGCTACCAAGTTTGAAGAGTTAAAAGTCCACTACGATAGTGATAGTACGTCAATTCTTTTTTTCCACCCCTTTTAATAAACTAGTAAATTGGAACAATGCATCACAAAGTCAGACCGACAGGGTACAGTGATAACAAAAATAGGTTAAATATCAGACAGGGACCAGGGAACCAGTCTGCTCTGTGTAATGATGATAAGATGTCCTAAGTTTTCGTTGTCATGCTATTTTAATTCTACTCACAACTTTTAAGTCTCATATTCAAATGCAGAAATTTCAGATGAAGTAACTACTGAGCTAAGAAAAAGGATTGTAAAGTTAGAGAATGAATTACTAACAGGGTTAAGCAAAGATAACGAAAAGGTATGCTTAAACAACCCTTAACATCTCTTGGTTTGCTTCTAAGCAGAACCGTTTCTGATTCTGAAACTTTTGACAAACTTAACTGAAATTCTGTTTTCTCTTGTTTTTTTACTTAATTTATCTACTTGACAGAGAGGAGGAGAGGAAGCCATCATGACTCGACTAAGAAAATTGCTGGAGAAAAGTGAAGCTGCTCGACATCAGTCAGAATATTCTCTATTGTTGGAACAGAAAAAGAGTGGGGAACTTAAAGACGAGATTGCTGATAGGGATGAAAAATTTAGTGAAGAGACTCAGAAATATAAAGGTAAATTTTTCAGATTTTCCAACGCTATTCTGCGTAATAAAAATACTCTGTAACTAACTACACCAGTCAAAGTTTTTAGCCTAACTAGACATATCATGTCTAACTTTAACAAAACAACCAGGGCTATTACAAGAGTGTCAAAACCGAGCAAAAGAGTGGGAGAAAGCTGTTGCACTGGCAGAAAAAGCAGCAGAAATGGAAAGAGAAAATATGGAGGCCAGTTTTGAGAATTTGAAAGCCATCATTTCAGAAAGGAATGGCCTTATTGAGTTTGTTACCTGTGAAGCAGAAGAAAAGAAAAAGCAAGTTGATGATATCGCTAAAGCCCTATCTACTGAACAAACGTTTGTGAATATCATGATATATACCCCTCAGCTCTCTCCCAATTTCATTAAAAACTTCATGTATTGATAATAAAGTAAAATAAATTGAGTTACCATAATCCAATTAACATAGTGTATCTTTTATTTATAATTATATACGATTTGAGAAGTCTGTTTTCTTTATAATATAACAATTTCAGCGAATGTAAAAAGACAAAAGAAAAACTCCTGACATGTGAACAAGTTATAATGCAGCAAAAAGAAGGAAACAAACAAACCCTCCTTAAGTTGGCTGTGTACGAACAAAAAGATAAAAAGCACCAACAAGATGTGAAAGGTTGGGCTGAGGAACGTAATAAGATTGAAGCTCAGCTGCAAAGGGAGAGGGGTTTCAATATACAGAACGCTCAGCAGTTTTCTGTAAGTTTTATTTGATTAAAAAAGTTTTGAAAACAATTTCAAATCGTCATTGATAATAAAAATTAGTTAGTGAATCATCGATTTTCTAATGTTTTTTCTGATAAAGCTAATCGTATCTTATAACCGCTTTTAAATTACCAGAAAGTTGAAGAAGAGCTAATAAAGTTGGAGAAAGCTAACAAAGAACTAACAGAGTGTTTGGAAAAAGAGCGAGAATTTAGGAAGAGAGCAGAGAGCGAGCTTGAGACTCGGACAAGGGATAACAAAGCTCTGATTGAGAAGAGCAGTGCACTTGAAACTAAAGTAAACAGGTCATCATAATCATATAGTCGATGTTTCACATAGTTTGGGAGAAGAAAATAAAGGAACATTGGTACTAGGAACTGACCGGTCTGAGGTTTTGGCTGCCGAACCGGAAACGGTCGGATAACAATCTATTTGAATCCAGTTTACCGCATTTTGCCGGATCAGAACCGGGGGGAGGCCGAGGGGGGGGGGGGGGGGGCGGGCATTTATCAATTATGATAGTTCTAAAATCCATGCGGATTTACACAAGAAATTCTTATCAACATTTTTTTCTAGTGCCTAAATATTTTCGAATCAGATACGAAACCCCGATTTTACATTTCGAGATCTGACTCTGAACCGGGTTCAGCTGGATATACCCGGTCGGTTCCTAATCAGCAAAGTCTATTGCTGAATTTCAAGCATCGACGAACGAGATGCATATGCTTTTTTTGCAGACTTTCTTAGCACCATTTACCTCAGTAACCTGAGTTTTTAAAATAATTTGGGGAACCAATTTTCAGTTTGACTCAATCAGAAGTAAAGATAAAAGAAGAATTGAACCAGAAGTTAAAGGAAAAAGAAGAACACATATCTCATCTGCTGGGTGAAATAGACCAACATCAGACAATATGCTCAGACTTGGCCAATGAACTACAAACTCTTCAGACTGGTATGGAACAGGTTAGTGGCCCGAAAAGAAAGATAAGCGAGCATATCGCTCTAAAATTCCTTAAAACTAAAACGCGTGGCTTGTTTCACCTAATCAAACTACAAAATCCATCACGATCTACAGTGAGTTTCTTGCAAACAGATCTGGAACTTAATTGAATCAATTTTTGCTGTGGAAATAGAAACTAATTTCAAACTATCCCTCAGATAGAGCAACAGTACAGTAGGAGTATAGCAAGTATAGAGCTGTTATACTGCCAACATTTTACCAGGTCTGCTTCCACACCACCGCTTGACATGGTCACCCTTATCTCTGATAAATTCAACCACCTCACTAAACATGTGAGTCATGGTGGATATGATTTAAACTTACATTGATTTCCTGAAAATACTTTTGAGTTGTTATTGAAATTTCCGTTCGTAGAACGGGTTACAGATTAATAGAATTTAAAGGGTAACGGTTGAATTATCCAATTATAAAGTTATCGAAACTTCAGGTGTTGGTGCAAGAAACGGAGATAGAATCTCTAAGACGTGCAGTGGAGAGAAGTGAATCTTTGTGTGAAGTGCAGAAGAAATCTATTGAGTCTAAATCTGAAACTATCAATACTTTCCAAGACCAGTAAGAGAAAATCATGAATCATTCGAAGATCTTTAGAGCATGCTGTGCTGATACCATGAGATACCGAACAAATTATAGTGATTGTATAATTTAATTTTAATCATTATGATTTAAACTCACTCCACAATGTCCCACAAAAGCCAGCACTAATATTTGCAGAATAAAAGAGCTGACAGATCAGGCGGGATCTCAACAACAGGAACTGACCATAACACTCGCCACCAACAAAGCCCTACAACAACAAGTCCAGGACATGACCACTTTGCTGGCAACCGAGCAGGAGAAAACCCTTACCCTCCTCAAGGACAAGAAGGAGGTTATCAAACAGAAACACGACTCTCTCAAGGTAGGAACATTTTGTACTGCATATATAGCTGGGTCAGAAAAGTTTGCTCTCCTGGAAATATTAACTTAATACATACTCCCTAGCAGCGCCAATAGAAGCTTCTTAATTCTGATATCTCGTCTACACTCTACAGCTTGTAATTGTAATTTTGTTTTTTCAACTTCTTGTTTTATTCAACTTCTTGTTTTTTTCTACTTCTTAACCACTGGATTGGCCTGACACCAGCCACCACCATCTACTGATAACACCGTGCAACTCCAAAATCCACCGAATCAGCAAATAATATGGAGCACAGCAAAACACCTCAAGTTGTGTCTTCTCGGTTGACAGTTCGTCTAACTGTGCTTGTCTCCTGACCTCTCTCTCTAACCTCTCTACTGTTCATATCACACGTCCTGTTCGTTCACTTGATCTGTTTAGTGTTTTCTGTGAAGTGTCAATATTGCACGATTTAAACATGCACTGAGATGAGTTATGAAGATTTTTAGTTGTACATGTACTGCATAATATGATGTGTTAAGATGGGATAATGCCGTCAGCGCGTGCGGACTGCGGAGTGTGTAGTCTCACTATTATTAAAGAAGCAACTGTAACACTTAACCGAAGTAGCCCCACTCAAACTGGTAGATATGCAGCTAAGATTGTAACTGTCTCCATGCCAACAGGAGCAATGTGAGACAGTGCGACAGATAAGTGAGACACTAGGAGACAAGACTGGAGACACAGACTGGACTGAGATCTGTAGATGTGCTCTGGTGGCTGCTCAGAAGTGTTGTGCTGAGAAGAAAGAGCTGAGTGTACTGGTTAGTGTTCTGTTCTGACGGTTATACTTTAGAGTTATATCAATAGTGCAAACTTTATTCTGTTCGGAAAGTATTAGATGTAACAGAAAAGGGAAAAAGTATTGATCAAAGGATTTATATTTGTGGATTAAGGCACGAATTAGACTGTTTTATTCCAGCTAAAAGAAGCACAAGAAGAGATAAAAACGTGTCACGTGTCCATGGAAACGCTTAGTAAAGCTGTGGACTCAACACGTGTGGATTGTTCCCGGAAGCTGGCTGAAAGTGAGACCTTGCATTCCGATCATACCAAATCCCTGGAGGATAACTATCTGCAACTCATAGATACTCTCAACACTAAACTCAAGGTTAACAAATTCTCCTGATTTGGCATTTTTGCTAAATTCATTCAAAAGTTTCTAATTAATCCCGCAATTTATTTTGAATTGTAGATGACGAAGTGAGAGTCTCCACTCAGTGTGTGGAGACTCTCACTTCGTCAACTACAATTCAAAATAAATGATTGACCCACTCATAAGAGCGAAAAAAGATTACCAGTAATCCCGCAATTCCTTATACTACTAACTAAACTAAGCTAACAGGTGATTTCTTATCTTTAGGGGATAGAAATGAATTCCTCAACAACAAATGACAAGATTAGATCGTTTTACCAAGAGAACGAGAAGCTGAAGGAACATGTTCATTCTCTTGAAGAGGATCTTCTGACATGTGAACAGCGTGAGTTATGATTTGTTCAAATGTTTAATGTTCATATAATTACTTGGCGCTGAGTTCTAATCATGGTTACAAGGTTATCTGTTGAGCAAGGATATCGGAGTTGTTCAAAGTCTATGTGTAATGTATATGATCGGTTGGGACTGTACGTCTATCTTGATAAGAAATTCTAAAACACAGTCATTAATCAATTGACTGATTAGATAACATAAGAAAGAAGGTATCAGTAGTTCTAAGCTTTCTACTGCCAGTAAGTTGACCGCACTCTCTCTACAGGAAGAGTAAACTTCCAAGCAGCAGTAGGAATGTTAGGGAGCACAGTGCTACATCACATGAACAGTTATAACAGACTTCTACACGTTCTATCATTCTACAAACACCAGGTTAGCTAACCCATTACCACGGTTTTTATAAAATGCGAAATATTTGTAACATCCGCGTAACGAAATCATTTTATCGGTACTATTTTAACGCTGCTGGATTATCACCTATTAGTGAACAACCTGTCTAAACCAAGTATAGTATAACTATAATATTATGTACATGTAATTTACACCTCCAGTACATGGCTACATTAGAGAACATGTGAAACTCAATGAATCACAAATTAAAAATACACGCAAGGCGATATGCACTATGCAGCTGTTTTTGATGTACATATAATTTTGAAATGTTCTTCTTGATGCTCTTTGTTGCTTCTCTGATATTACGCTTGCCATATACAACTTGTTAACATGGTTAACATGGTTAACATGGTTAACACGGTTAACATGGTTAATACGGTTAACATGGTTAACATGGTTAAAACATGGTTAAATCTCCGTTCTGTAATACATTTTATGGCTTGTTGAACCTGCCACCTGATAGTATTTTCACAAATTCAGGAAAGTGTACTGTTATATAGGAGAGATGTTTACAATACACCAATAATTCTAATTTAGTAATACATAGCATACTTAATTCGTCCAGCATATATAATACTTCAGTCGTAAATGGCCCACATTATATTCCGCAGAGTAACTTCACTTCATTCTCACTTGTGGAGGCGACCAATTGTAATGCCTTGTTACCAGCGGGCAGCGGTTAAGACAATAGAAGAAATTGATCCAATTTTATGTGGTATTGACGACGCTTTGGCTGGCCCAAATTGTTATATATATTGTAAGAGCTAACAACAAAGTTTCCGTTCGTACCTAGACCTTACTTAATACTATTTTCGCTTGAATATATTTATTTTTTCCGAATTTAATTATTCAAAAGGAACGTCTCCGAACTGAGTGTATACTGTGTACATAACAGTGTGGGTATGCCAAATATTTGTAAGTCTGGCTGGCGCCAAACTTACAAACATTTGAATTATGTACATTCGTGTATATTCGTTTCCTTTGTGTAATCATTTGCTCAGTTTAGTTTCACGCACCTCGTATACGTTACCATTGTCCATTATTTTCTCTGTCCTTAGCCTAATATAAGCAGTAAGCACGGTATATTATTATGAGTAAATTTTCTCTCCTGTACTTTACTTCCTTTAGTAATAAGCTGTTTATTATAATATATTATAATATTGTTATTTAACGAGGTGTGATCGTCATCTTCTAACAGCTAGAGGGTCCGCAGTAGTCCCATTACCTTAGTATTGCTGTAAAACTTCTGTAATATTGTTATTTGTAAACAAAAGATTATTCATAGTTTAGATTGTATTTCCGTTGCCAGTTGGATATTCAAATTGAAACCAATTAGATATTTTTACGCATTATTTTAACTAGCAGGAACCCGTCTAACCCTAAAGTGGTGTCAAGACTCGAGAGACTAAAATAATTATTACCTATTTAATTCGCGTTTTTGACACCACTCGGGAGTCCAAATTTCGGGCACTAAAATTGTTATTCCTTGGTCAATTTTTTATTTTTTCATGCTGATTTGAAGGCCATTAAAGCATTTGACCCAGTCAAAAAAGTTTCAGTTGTATATCTTTTACGGTTTTTGCGGAAAGTTGCGTTAAAGTTGATGCCGTGGTGTCAGTAAAATGGCACGGATAAATAAATATATATATGAATAAATATATATAAATATATATGTGAAGAAGAGGAGAAGGAGGAAGAGAAAAAAGATTAATCGTACTACATCCCACAGACATCAGAGTACGTTAATCAAAGGTACTCTTCCCAAGGTTGAAGACTTGTCAATGGAAAACATGTCCAGAACAGTTGTAAATCTTACAGACAAAGAGCTTAGTAAAGAGCAACTCTATGTCTTTTTCTTGTCTCACAAGGTTGCACCTACACCTCCCCTACCAGATCTAAGCCGCTTCGAGAACGATTTGTGTAGATGGTTTTCTAAAATGAGAGCTAAAGTTGTATTTGATAGCTTTAAATGTGGACCCAACAAAGCAGATAAGAGAGTTACTGACATGGAACGTTGTCTTATAAAGACTGATGCATCACGTACTTTCGAATCTTGTGAAAACCCTGCACTTGAGGCGTTTATAAAATGCTGCAGAGCAGAAGTAGACCTCCACAGGCCAACTCAGAAATTCGTCTCACCAGATAACATCGCTGCGCCCATCAGAGCAGCTCTCAAAGAAGTCAAAGGTTGGAAAGACATTGTTATCAGACCATTCGATAAAGGAGTAGGATTCTTCCTTCTTAGTGAAGAAGATTATATTCAACGAATAGGTGTACATTTAAATGATAGATCTGTATATAGTATTGTAAATAATATAGATGATTTAGTTGTAGAATTGATTGATAAAATTTCGAATTGGACAGTTGAGTTTAAAGATGAATTAGGTATGTCCAAGAAGGTCAAGGAGTGGGTTATTCCATGTACTGAGCTTAACCAGCCTGGAAACATGTACCTGAATCCCAAGGCACACAAACCACCTTTGTATCCTGGGAGGATGATTACCACCGGCTGTGGTTCATACATTGAAAACCTTTCTGCCTTGACTGCGTATGAATTGAAGAAGGCTACTTTGAATTATAGAATTATTGATACCCCTCACTTTCTGAGGAAGATAGATAGCCTGAACGAGTCTAGCATATTGTTGGGAAAGGAGGTTATACATGTTGCCATCGATATATCTAACATGTTTACCAACATTCCTAGGGATATGGGGATCCAACAATGCACTAAGCACCTGAATAAAAGGAGTAGTGGTGCTCAATTGTTTAGTACAGAATGCATTATTAGTGCACTAGAAATTACTCTTGATTACAACATTGCTTCATTTAACGGTATAACATACCGCCAGGAGCGTGGAGCAGCGATGGGTCCTAAGAACTCATGTGAGTATGCTGATTGTGCTATGGATAAGATTGATATCTTAGTTAACGAGGGAGATCTAGAATATGGCCCGCCTCATAGACCAGCATTCTGGGGTAGATTACGTGATGACATTTATATGGCTTGGCCCGGTACTGTTGAGGAACTATTACAATTCATGGAATGGCTCAATAGTATCCACCCAAACCTTTTGTTTACTTACGACTACTCTAGGGACGGCGTTGAGTTTCTAGACACCTATGTCTATGCTGTTGGTGATGTTGTCCACACCAAACTCTACTCTAAACCTAGTGACACCCACTGCTACCTTATCCCCACGTCATGCCATAGGAACCATGTTGTAAAAAACATACCTTTTGGAGTGGCGAGGCGGGTGAGACAGAACAACAGTGAAGACACTAACTTCTTGGAGCAGAGAGAGGTCTATACACGTTACCTTCTAGCCCGAGGTTATCATTCCAGTATTATAGAAGATGCCTTTAACAAATTTAGTGATATAGCTAATAGGAAAAACTTGTATACCCTTAAAGACAAGGATGAGTCGACTGCCTGTTTAATACCCATGGTGATGGATCAAAATCCAGCACTTCCCAACATGGGGGGCATTATCCATAAGTATAAGCACCTTCTCAACCTTGATCCGGCCCTGAAGAAGCTGGTACGTGCGGACAGTGTATTCGTGAGTCATCGAAAGAATCAAACTATCGGTGGCATGCTTGTACACAATAAGTACCGTGCCAGTGGAACTTTAAACTGTGATAATGAGAGAGAAACAACTGCAAGTCAGATCCAGGAACCAGACTCCGAAAGTCTAAGGGCGGTTCCCGGGGCTGTCGACCCAGGGTGCCATGCTTGTGGTAAATGCTATGTTTGTAAGCAAAATTTCCTGTCCCCCTGTTCCAACTTTAGTAGTCACCATTCTAAACAAGTTTTCCCTATAACTAAGTATATATCTTGTCAGAGTTATAACCTCATTTATTTAATGGAGTGTAAGACTTGTAAACAGTCGTATGTCGGTTATACTACCTCAAATCTCCCTAAGAGATTCTCTAACCATAAGAGTCACATAAAGAAAGGTATAAGAAGTTGTAAATTAGTTAACCATTTTTTAGATATTGATCATGATTTAGATTTTAGTACCATAGCCTCCTATAATTCCTCACTTAGTAAGCACCTTTCTGTCATTATAGTAGACGCTTTAGTATTTGAGCCTAATATTAGTAAAGCAGACAAAGAAAAGGCTATGGAAGCTAGAGAGGGGTTCTACCAGACCCAATTGAAAACCCTTGAACGGTTTGGGGGTATGAACACCCTTGATAGTAACCATATACTTTTTAAATCTGCCGGAGCTTAGTTTTAGTTTTAGTATATTTTGTAGATTTTATTTAGTTATACCATTATTCCAGAGACGTGCATACTACATTTTTTACTTTAGTATTAATTTTACGGGTTTTTTGTTGTGATTTTAAGTGATTTTCCGAGAATCAGTTATCAGTATTTAGATAAGAGATAAGATAAGAGTACATTTTTAACGGCTTTCAGTTTCTTTTTTAAATTTCAGTTCATCAGATTTTCCCACTGCTTTTAGTTTGTATTTATTCTCAATTGTATATGATTCGTATAATGTTGTAGTTACTTTAATGATATAATTTCTCAGAATTGATGTAAATAAATGATGCAAAGACTTTGGACGATCTAATCACAACCGCTTTCTTTTATTGTGTAGAAGTCCAGCCATGAAATATATATATATATATATCGTCTCGCTTTATATATAGTAAGATTAATATCATTGACGGGACAAACTGCAACGATAAAAGCGCAGATTATATTCATTAAAATGGTTCACAACTCCTACTTGTATGTGATACGGAACAGCAGTACACTCTTCAAGGTATTAATACAGCTTCAGATCCTCGCTCAACATTCCGTGGGGGACAGTACCTGCACCCGAGGTATTATTCAGGAGTGATTGAATATTGTACTAATTCTGTACTCATGTAATTGTAGACAGTCATAATGTGGGGCACAGCTTACAAAGCTTCTTCATGTTGTTTATAATCGATCATACTATTGACTAGTGACTTGGACTTTAAAT